CTTGTGGCCAGCCAGTACGGATGGTCTGGTAACATGGAGAGAATCATGAAAGCTCAAGCATACCAAACGGGCAAGGACATCTCTACAAAGTAAGTGTCCCTGGGAAGGTCCCTCTCCACCAAGCTATTAGCTCTTGTCCAATCTGGCTCGCAAAGATAATGCCAGCTTCTGTTTAAAGAACTGAGGTTTTAAGTGCCCACCCCTATCTACTATATATTAGGTAGAGAAGTTCAGAAAGCGATTACTTGTACATGAGATGGATAAAGAAAAGGTCTTAGATTCATGACTTATTTTATAGTGTTTTATATATAATATATATAAAAGGAAATTTTCTTACTGTTACACATCTTGTCTTAAGTCCTTCTAAGTACTTTTAACCACCACCACTATCTGTCAGATACTTATGCCCCACAAAATAAAGGGTAAAGGGTCCCACAAGTTAACAATTATTTGAAGTCAAGGACATGTACACTAGTTCTTCAATATCCTTTGTTTTCTAAAAGTATACATTTCAAGTTTATTGTTTAATTCATAGAAAGGGCCTATGAAAATGACTTCTTCCCTTGCCTTCTTTCTTTTCTTTTTTCATCAGAAATACCTTATTTGTTACCTAATCACTTTTTTCCCCAAGGCCTAACTTAAGGATTCTTCTTAAAGTGTAATCTCCATTGTCACAATTCCAAAACTCCATTTAAAAAATACACATGCATACACATATATTTGTATTTCATAATGAGCGTGACTCACCAATGTACGTCTATACGGTAAAATTCTGTCCTGCATGTCTTATCCCCTGGCTATATTAAAAATTTCAGGTAGAACACAGGTTTCTGCTTATATCCCACTGCAACAGTACAGTAGCTATTTAATAAATATCCACCTATTTCAATTGTTTATTAACAGGAAGTTACCTTCTGTTCAACAAAAGTTTGAGCACCTGCTGTGTCTACACTGGTGATATAAGTAGACATTGCTGCTATCTTTGTGACATTCAGACTAGTCAGGGTGACAAAGCATAATCGCTAAGCCCTTGAATATATCACGGGTATGCCAAGATAGGGAGAGGCGTGGTTTCTGTACTCAGCGTGCAGCTGTAGGAGGGAAAACAGTCACAGCCAACAGTGGAAAGAGATGATGAAGGTATGTTCAGAATGCATTGGAAACTGAGCTCCCACAAAAGAAGCAATTCATTTTTCTTGGGCTGTATTAGTGAAGGCAACATGAAGAGCTGCACCCAGAGGCTGCCTAGGTACCTCAGAACTCTGGGAGAAACAGCTGCAGTTAAAGTAGTGAGAATAAATTAAGGGGGGATGAATAAGACATTAAAACAGTTCAACTCAGAGTGTGTGAGGCACTTGGGATTCATTAGTAAATAAAATAGTTCTTTTTACTGCATTTTCATCTAACCATTGCCCATCCCCCTTGAAAAGGAAGACATGATATAACAATAAAAGTACACTGTGGCTCTTTGAGAGTTCTCTGTAATTATGAAAGTTGTTAGTAAGAGAGAACTGTATGGACCCTAAAACTTGATATTTGTTAACACATTTTTGTCCTTTTAACAGTTACTATGCTAGCCAGAAGAAAACATTTGAAATAAATCCCAGACATCCACTCATCAGAGACATGCTTCGACGAGTTAAGGTGAGTAATATTGTAGCCATATGCCTTCATCTTTTAATTTGAGTACTTTGTATCTTTTAATAATGATCAAGTATGACTTCTTCCATTTCAGGAAGACGAAGATGACAAAACAGTTTCAGATCTTGCTGTGGTTTTGTTTGAAACAGCAACCCTGCGGTCAGGGTACCTGTTACCAGACACTAAAGCATATGGAGATAGAATAGAAAGAATGCTTCGCCTCAGCTTAAACATTGACCCCGATGCAAAGGTTTGAAATAATTTATTAAATGTTTGAATTCCCAGTATTGTGCACTGTGCTAGATTAATGGGAAATTCCCCTTTTGTATCTTTGTTGTCTGTCTCCCTTTGGTAGCTTGACTATTAACCCTAATTAGAGGATTCCCTCTACCATTCTGCATAAGCAGGAGTGAAGTTCATTATGGCCTCACACAGTAAAGTGAGCAAAGTGAAAACATCCGAGATAATAGATCCATTAATGGGCTTGTAAATGTTGCCCTCAGGTGGAAGAAGAACCTGAGGAAGAACCAGAAGAAACGACAGAGGACACCACAGAGGACACAGAGGCCGAGCAAGATGAAGAAGAAATGGATGTAGGGACAGATGAAGAAGATCAAGAAACAGCAAAAGTAGGGGACTTCCCATTTTTAATTTCTAGTCCTTCCAGAGTTACAAAGACTTTTAGGTCTGGCCCAGTAAGCACTGTATAATGTACAGGCATCAGACTTAAAGAAATCTATCAAAAAATAGGCATCTAATCAAATTTAAAAGCTTGGAGCAAGTCACTTTTAGAGAAGTATATGCTTTTATCTTCCCACTTTCTTTATTCCTTTATTTTAGCCATCCATTCTTGAGGTGATTTTTAAAGATTTTTCCTTAACCTTCAGTACTTCTGCATTCTTTGCCACTTGTTTCTGCCTTACTATATAGCAACAGTAGACTGAATGGAATTTTTTATTGTGTTCAGGAGCTGTCAACCTTGTTGGGTTTAAATTATTTTGAAGATTCACAGGGTGAGGTTCTAACCTACAGCCGAAATAATGGAAATAGGCTGGGTCCATTTCAGATGCAACCTTCTGTGAGCTAAGGTGGGGATTTTTGCAAGTTTTTAATGCCTTCTGATTTTTCTGTTTCCACAGAAATCTACAGCTGAAAAAGATGAATTGTAAATAATACTCTCACCATTTGGATCCTGTGTGGAGAGGGAATGTGAAATTTAAGTCATTTCATTTGGGAGAGATTTGTTTTGGATGCTCCCCCCAAGTCCTCTTCTCCCCTGCACTGTAAAATGTTGGGATTGTGGGTCACAGGAAGAAGGTGGGTTTTTTTAGTTGAATTTTTTTTAACATTCCTCATGAATGTAAATTTGTACTATTTAACTGACTGTTCTTGGTGTAAAATCTTGTCATGTGTATAAAAATAAAAAAGATCCCAAGTATTCAGTGTCTTCCTTGTCTTTTTATAATGCATTGTAAAGAACTACCTATATTTAGTTTTTTTTTTTTTTTAATTTTGTGTCTTGGATTTTTTTTATCATCTATAGAGAGAGAATCGTTGCTACAGAAGAGTTCCAAATAGATGCTTCCTCTTCCAGGAGGTGGACTTAATCAGCTTCTCCTTTTTGAATGTAGCCTCCTGGACCCTGACTGTTCGCTAAAGAATCAAGTGTGGAAGGGGGAAAATAGTACCTTTTATAGCAGAGAAACCTAGCAGACACTACCTTTACTGTGTGATCAGTACTGATCCCCCCAGGAAGGCCTGTACCCCTGGTGTGATGAGAAGGCTACTTCACCTCTGGTATCTTCCAAAAATAGCCTAACAAGAAAAAGATCAGGAAAACATTTGAGACACTAGTCTCAAAAAAAGTTTCAAGGTCAAAACCAAGGATAGAAATAGTCACAAAGTAGAGGAGACTCAGGAAACGTGGCAATGTAAATGCAGTGTGGTACCCTGGATTAAAACTGGTGAAGCCCAAATTACATCTGGAGTGTAGTTCTTTAACTCTGATGTATGTAGTTACTCAGATGTCATTTCATGGAAACGAAGAGAGGTGTATGAGAGCTTCTATTCCTATCTTTGCAGTTTCCCTATAAATCTAAACTTAACTCCAAGATGTACGTTTTAAGTCACCCATAATCCTATCAGAGATGACTATAGATGAGTGAAGATCCTCATTGAGCTATCATTTATTTTGAAATGTATCCTTATTTACAGAACAGTTTCTCTAATTGCACTAGTCATTTTCCCATCCAAAATTGTTTCCTTTTTTCCACTGGTTAGGGAAAGAAAATAATACTCAAGTCGTACATTCAAAGACGTGTTAGAAAATTTTGCGGAAATGAATTTTACGTACCATGTTAAGGACGAAACAATCTGATAATCTAGGGCTCTCACATTTCTGTTCATTATATGCTTCCTACGCCTACTGCTCAAGCTATTTTTCTAGGGTTAGTTTGCAATAATCACTTTGAATTACCAACTACCGTACTTGAATGTATCTTTAAAAAAAATCTGTCCCACATCTTTCCCTTGTAAGAAAAAAATGGGAGCTCCGTCATAGAGAAACATGTTATAAATTAAGGTATAGCTTCCTTTCATAATACCATGTCATATTGACTTATGCTTTTAATTTTTTGGCCACTGTAAATTACCATTTTTAATACAGAAATTAAAGCCATTGGGTTGTGTGAAATTAGTGACATCTGAAACTTTGCTCTTCAGAATCTTTCACTTAACAAATTCTAAATTTCCACTGTTACCATCAGAAGCATGAAAAGCATAATACTCCCTCAGCTTTTGGTAAAAACAAGCAACCATGTCATAAATGCCTTGCACAGTAACTGCTTAATTGACCTAATTTGATTACCAGACAGGTTGTGACTCGTCTTAGACGTTTTTTTCCTCACAGCTGTATCAAGGAATAATACAGAACTACTTCCAGTTTTGGCTTGTATCTGTCAGATTCTGTTCTCCAGGAAGCACTAAGATGCAGTTCAGTATTCAGGATGTTTACTGAGGATGGTCCTTGGATCAGCCTCTGTGGCAGGAAAGGACAAGGGACTGAGCAGAGGAAGTTGAGCTGTAATACAGGTCCAAAGACAGCCAGCGTCAGTCAGCCCATGGGGAACTGAGCTAAAACACAGTCCCTTAGTGTGCTGGGTGACAGGTGTGGCTTTCCACAAAGCCACTAGCTGAGGCAGGCAGTCCTTGCAGGAGCTGACAAAGGAAGGCTGCTCTGTGATGAATACTGAGTGCCTTTCCTTGGGGAGTCTGTATTACGCCTGCCACTGTTTCTTATAAGGGGGAGGTCACCTTCAAAAAAACTATATACCTTGGGGAAAGTTACACAGAATCAACACTTAATGGCATGATGTTTTTATTTTCAGTAACTTTTTAATAGCTATACAATTTTTCACCTTCATGAAGCCATAGGAGGGTTATCCCATAGCAGTCAGGCTCAAATTACAACTGCTTTCTTACAAGCTGAAACCAGTCAATCTGTACCTGTAAAAGGAAGCTGGGGTGGGGGTGGGGGTTAAAGTATGGCCCACTGCATTTATCCATGGCATGAGGGGCCTCCCCTCATGTGCAAGGGGCAGGAACTTTGCACATGCAAAAGGTGAGCAATGTCCTCAGCCCTATATTCTGCAAAGTGATGAAGGAGGCTCCTCACTTGTCTACAATCAAAGCTTACCAATTTGGTGTTCATAATCTAAACTTAGTGAAGAACTAAATTTGAAAATGTTAGTTGACAATGAGAAAAACTTCACCTAGCAAATTCAATTACTGAAACTAGTTCGGAGTCTAAAATGATTCTATTGTTGATTTATACTAAATCAAGTACCTTCCTGAAACCTTTGACAGAAAGAGCTTTGTATATAAGACTGGAAATAAGCTATTTCATTTAGTTGCTTTATATTGTTAAACTGAAAAGCATATTTACTATGGAGAGTTTTAAAAAAGCATTTGCAGTTAGGGACTTAACATTGACCCCAAAGATCTGTGTCATCTAGCAATTTGTTGACTGGCAGGTAAGCCTAGATACTGTATAAGAAAGCAGAATTCTGAAAAACTTCTGGAAAAATAGCCCTGAATAGAAAGCCAGCAGCTCTATAAATTACTTACGTTGTATATTTATAGACTCAGAAAAGTGCAAAATGTTTATGTTAGTTACCTAGGGCTCTGCCATAATAAAGTGCCACTAAGTAAGTGACTTAAAAACAGAAATTTATTCTCTCACAGTTCTGGAGGCCAGAAGTCCAAAATCCAGCAGTCGGCAGGGCCATGGCCAGATATTCTGCATAGAATCTTGCCTCCTCCTGGCCTCTGGTGGGTGGCCCTCAGTGCTTGGTATTCCCTAGCTTGTAGCTGGATCACTCCAGTCTTTGCTTCTGTTGTCACACGGTGTTCTCCTCTTAATAAAGACACAAATCATACAGGATTAGGGTCTACCCTAATCATCCCATCTTTACTTGATTATGTCTGCAAAGGCCCTATTTCCAAATAAGGTCACATTTGCAGGTATTTCAACATCTTTTTGGGGGGAGCACAATTCAACCCATAACAATGCTCATTCTTAAATTCATTAAAAAATTAAATGCCTAATGCTCATTCTTAAAATTCATTAAAAAATTAAATGCCTAACATGGTTTCTGAAATTGGGGGATTAAAGAACTTAATGACAGTCAAGTCACAATTGTTATAATTAGGTACGCAATTTCAAAAGAATTTCAAACTTTAAATATTACAACTTAATTCATTTTAGTACAAGTAGTATTTTCCAATATTAAGATACTGATCACACCATAAACTGTCAATGTCACTTTGATTATAGTTAATTTATAAGTCCCATTTACCATTATAGTTACACTTATTCAGAGAAATAAACTAGAATTATAGGGGCAGGAGACATCACAAATATTCTTATATGATACTCAAGACAACTATCAAACCACATTCAAGAAGCTGGCAATACAAGTTTTGGCAGTTTTCTAGGAACATTAGTCAAATTTCAATGCCTCAGTTGACTAGGGCACCTCTGCTTGCAGTTAGAAGTGTATTAGGTGCTTAAAGAAAAGTAGTCAGCTCTGATAAAGTTTTAAAATACATATTTAATACTTATAATATTATTATTATTATATATACAGAGTTTGTGGCAGAACTGTATTTTCAGGCTTCTACTGCTGAGAAATTTGAGGCTCATGTTGTCTCTCTTTCAATCCCAAAAGCTCCGTTTTGAGTTCTCCAGGCTTTGGTGGAATTTCAGGTATTGTCTATAAAAAAAAAAAAAAAGACTCCAGTGCTTTCTTAGACAGTAATTAAATGTGACCTAAAAGACAGTACGTAAGCTAAGAAAGTAAAAGGCAAAAAAGAACACAGTCCCTGCTATTCAATGAGAAATCTTATTATGAGAACCTGCAGCTGATCTAAGCCCTTTTCTAGCACTGTATTTATAGGACTCTATCATCCAGGCTATGCTTTAAGTACTACAGGAGTCACGGAGGGAGTCTGCATCAATATCAACTGACAGGTCACAAATTTAAGTAAGGCATTCCAGATGTGGAAATTCATTCCTGCCCGATTTACTGACTCCACCGTGTGCCTAGCAAAGAAAACAGGTATTAGGAATCAATTCACTTACTGAAAACCAGTAAGTGCCTATTATGTGCAAAACATAAAACAGCATAAAATACAAAACTGCCTTCAAAAAAGGTGATTGGGAAAAGCCTGGTAAGGTGACTTTTTTTTTAACAGCTTTAGTGAGACAGAATCCACATACGTACCACTCACCCACTTAAAGATTACAATTCAATGGCTTTTATAATATTCAAAAATTTTGCATCCTCACTACAATAAATTTCAGAACTTTTTCATAGCCCAAAAAGAAACCTCATGCCCATTAGCAGCTACTCTCATTTCCACATAATCCTCTCTCCCCCATCAACCTGTTGCCCTAGGCAATCATTAATCTACTTTCTGTCTCTACAGATTTGCTAATTCTGGACATTTCACAGAAATGGAAAAATACAGTATGTGGTCTTGTGTGACTGGCTTCTTTCACTTAGCATGTTTTCAAGGTTCATCCATGTTGTCACATATACCCATACTTCTCCCCTTTTAGGACTGAATAATATTGTGTTATAAGAATATACCACATTTTATTTACCCATTCACCAGTTGGCAGACATTGGATTGTTTCTACTTTTTGACTCTAATGAATAATACTTTATGAACATTCATAAACAAGTTTTTATGTGGACATATGTTTTTCAGTTCTCTTGGGTATAAACCTAGAAGTGAAATAGCTGTAAAATAATTACTCAAATTGTTAATTACTCCAATATTTACTTTAAAAGTTATATTATTTTATACCAAACTGCAAGATTACTCTGGCATAATTTCAATTGTATCATAAAACTTCAATAGCTTTTCAATACCTGAGAGGTAACTGTTTAACTGAGGAACTATCAAACTGTTTTCTTTTAAAGCAGCTGCACTGTTTTACACTCCTAACAGCACTCTCTGAGGGTTCCAATTTCTCAACATCCTCACCAATACTTGTCATTATTTTTTTAAATTATAACCATCATAGTGGTTATGAAGTAGCATCTTACTGTGGCTTTGATTTGCATTTCCCTGATGGCTAATGATGTCAAGCACCTTTTCATAGGCTTACTGTCTGAAAAGGTAACTTCTGAACAAAGACATGAAGGAAGACAACAAAGCCAGCCATGCAGATATCTAGGAGTGTTTCAGGCAGATGGAGCCACACGTACAGCAAACATAAGACAGGAATGTGCCTTTGTGTTCAAGGAAGAGCAAGGTGTCAGCATAGCCACAGAAAGTACTCAATGAGAGGTTAGGAAAAGACAAAGAGGAAAAATGGGGTTGCAGAGATTTTGTGGGGGTGTCACTGGAGAGTTTTGAGCAGAAGAGCGTCAAGACCTGATGAAGCATAAAAAGATGAAGTGGTGGCAGAATAGCCTGTAGGGGAGCAAGGGTGGAAAGTGGAAGCTATTAGTATAACCAAGGTGAGAGATGACTGACAGTGGCCTGAATTAGGTGTAGCAATGCAGGCGGGGAAAAGCGATGAGACTCTGGTTGTGTTTTTCAGATCAAGTCAATGGGAACTTACTGATACATGCAATATGAAAGGCAAGTTAAGGATGACTCCTAAGTTTTGGCCTGAACAACTAGAAGAATGGGATCCCCATTTATGGTGATAGGGAACATCAAGGAGAGCATGTCTGTTGGGGGAAGACCTGAAGCTCGGTTTTGAACATGCTTACTGCACATTCCACATGCAAGTAAGTGTGTAATTAATAGTCTTGTTTTAAGCTTAAGCGAGAGGTTCAGACTGGAGGTATAATTTTAGAATATAAATAATAATTAATGCCATAAAATGAGATGAAACTATGGGAAGTGAGCGTAGAAAGAAACTAAAGGTCAAGGACTGAGACTTGAGACCCCCCAGTGTTGGGAAATCAAGGAGATAAGAGGAACCAACAAAGACTGGGAAGCAGCAACCAATGAGGGACAAGAACCAGGACAGAGCAGTGTCCTAGCAGCCAAGTGAAGAAAGTGTTCCAAGGAGAGAGTATTCCACTGTGTCACACACTGCTGATGAAGACTGATAACTGACCCACAGGATTTAACAACATGGTTACTGGTCACCTGAAAAGGCACTTCGGTAAGTAGTCAGGTGCCTTCACCGCCAGGTCTTTGCGCATCCTGTTCTCTCTATCTGGGTGCCCCTTGCAAGGGATTCCTCCACACGCCGTCTCATGTTGGCAATACAAATATTCTTCTCATTACCCAAGGCCCACCTCGGTGACAACCTTGAGGGAGATGAAAGGTATCACCCCTTCCACTCATTCCCACCATACTGTTTACCCATCTGTGATCAGTGTTAGCCCACAAGGTCCTATATCATAACCAGTCAGAGGCATATCTATTTCTATCAGCTTATACTGTAAGGTCCCCAAGGAAAGGGACCACATTCTCCTCATTTCTTACAGCCCTGTAAGAATGCCCCTCATTATAAGAGGCAGTAAAAAAATGTGCTGAATGAATAAATCAACAAACTTTGCTAAGAACCCTTATAAACTCATAGATTGGAAAAATTACACCTTTACTCAAATTATTTTATATAAAACTGCAAGATTACTCCGGCATAATGTCAATCATATCAGAAAACTTCAATAGCTTTTCAATATCTGAGTTGAACACCTTGACTCAGCTCATTTTATCTCCTGTTTCATCTCTCTGTTTTATCTCCTCACAATTAATTAATCCTAAAGAAATAAAATAGTTTAGGAAAAAAATTTGTGACTTGGGGTCTGGGTAACAGCAGAGGTAGGGAGGTAAGAGATGTGCAGCATAGTACCATTCTCACTTTGAACTGAACATGACTTTCTAGAAAAGCAGTGATGGGAACTGGAATAAAAACCAGAGTACCCTGTCTGACAATTTCCTCTCTTAAAACCAGTCCTAGTATTTTGGCATTACAATCCCTTCACTACAAGCAAAGAATGTAGCCTGTTTCATATTTGTTAAATCAGCTTCTAATTGATTTAGAAGGCTATTTTTCCCCCCAGGTCATAAAAGGAAATTATGTGAAATTCACAAAGCCCTGTAAAATACAATAGGCATGTTTCAAATTTCTAGGAAGTATTCACAACCACCTACTTACACACACACACACACACACAAACAGGCACACATCTGGAGTGACTTCAATTGCCAATACAGTATAAAGCTAAAATGACAATTCAACTTTTATTAAAAGATAGAACTTCTATTTATAAACTAAATATATAACCCAATTAAAAAAAAAAAGTAAGTTTATTGGCATCAAAAGTTATCAATGGTGGTAGAAGTTCTAAATAGCAGTTTGTGTGTGTATGGGTGTATCTGCATCAAAAATGAACACTTTAAAATGAGTCCAGAGATGGGATCTTTTGAACTACTACATCTTAAAGAATAAGTAGGTTATAAATTAAACAGAAAAAGTAAAAGTAATGCAAAAGTGAAAGAAAAATGCAGAAGGGAAGCTCAGGCAAAGGCACACTCTTTACTCCAGGACAGAGCATCTGCCTTGAGTACCTGTCGCCTTTCCTTTGCTGAGGAGCTGAACTGGGCCACTAGGGAAAACAAGCCCTTAATGCTTCTACTTAAAGTAGCACTGAGCACAAGCCCTAGGCAGGCATCAAGGGCCTCCTCTGCTCTGGCTCCCCCCAAACCTTCTAGCCTTACAGACTGAAAGACGCCCGCAAAGGCTGGTGGTTGTTACAATAGTGACAATAATTGCTGGAATACCAACAGAAGCAAATAAAAAATATAAATATATCCCTTAAATGTTTGTAAAGCATACATTAACAGAATGTGTTTGTAAAGCACAGCCAAAGGCCCTACAGAAGTGTCCCACTGCCAACAAACGTCACCACCCTATCAGGATGAGGTGGCCTGAGACTCTTCAGTATGTCCCTTCTAGAGATTCTGACCTTGTGCTGTCTCATTCCAAAGTCCAGGCGGCTGCTAGTACCACCCCTTGCACATACCCACTTTTAATGAGATGGGTGAATCAAAAGTCCATTTCCCAGAGTCAAATAACAGGCATTCCTTTCTTGGTAAGGCCTGCCTGATGTCTATTCCCTCACAAGGCAGCGACTAAACTGAATTTCTGTGGAAGCTTACCCCTTTCTGTCTCGGCTGAGTATCCTTGGTGCTTCCCTAGAACCCAAAAAAGAAGTAACCTGAAGCAGTAAGGAAGAGCTAGCGCAGCACTGTTTGTACACAACCTAGATACCACCTAAATGTCAAAAAGGGATAAATGGAATCATTTATGGAATATCCCTATTATGAAATATGATACAATAGAAAGAAAAAAGCTATTGATACAAACGTCTATTCATACAGATGTTAACCAAAACAACTAAGTTGCAGAACTATGTGTATATAAACTCCTATTTACATGGGGAAAAACACCCCAGAAACCTGTGTGTGTGTGTGTGTGTGTGTGTGTGTGTGTGTGTGTGTGTGTGTGTGTGTGTGTGTGTAACAACAGAAAAGTCTCTAAGGATACATCAATTAAAAAATGGTAGTTACATGTGGGGAGTAGACCAGAGAAAGGGGCTTGTAAGTGGAGGGATTTTCACCCTTTAATCTATATGCTTGAATTTAATTCAAATGTTTTACAGGGTACATTGTTTTAACAGGATCAAAAAATAAAAACACTTTAAAAAGCTTAGGCTTCAAATCCTCATTAAGCTGTGATTTGGGGAAATCACCTTCACTCCTCTGAACCTCAGTTTCCTCATTTGAAAACAAGAACACACCTCCACAACGGTAGTGACAGTTAACTCTAATTAGAAACACAAACGGTTGGTTCTCTGGAAGTGTTAACCGACCAGAGTCCAGGCAGAAATGACTGCTCCCTACACTGTGCTCCAAGCCACTCTATTCACACCTACAGCATAACAACTAGCATATTCTTGTAATTGTTTGCACTGTACTTCTTGCCTCCACGTCCCCAAGACTGTAACTCTTCAAAAGCACCTAATCCCCAATTCTAATTCAATAGATGCTTATTAAAATTAATTAAAAGGTCTCCCTGCTTTGAATGCCTGTATTTACTCACTCTTTATTCAACAAATATTTATTGAGCTTTTCTACTACATTCCAAGCTCTTTTCTAGGTGATTGAGATACAAGGCAGAACCACACAGGCACAGTCGTTTTGTAAAGATTACATTCTCGTGGAAGAAACAAAGAACAACTAAACAGACAAAGGAATAATATAACTGGAAATTATGACGAGTGTTCGTTGGAAGCAAAGGGCACAGAGTAGCAGAGGAATCCGATAGGAACTGTCCAAAGGACCCTCATTGCTGCAGGGGCAATGACTTGAAGTTCAGCTGAAACTTCAAGTTTTGAAGAAAACCAGGTCAGGATCTGGGAGAAAAGTATTCTAGGAAGAGGAAAAGCATGGCTTTGAGGTGGGGACAGGCTTGAAGAGTCGGAGAAACAGCATGAAAGCCAGTGTTGCTACCAGAGTCGGAACAGGGGGTAAATAGTAGAAGAAAAGGCCAGTAGACTGCGTAAGACTTTGTAAGGCCTGTGTGAGATAGTGTAAGGGCACGCCGTGCATTGCGCTCAATGTAATGGGTAGATGTGCTCCTAATTTCAGAGCATTTTAAGAGCATTTTTGCTGCTGTGAGGAGAACGGAGTGGTCCAGGAGCGAGGTACGAGGACCCTCCTGCACTCACCAGGTCCGGCCGGTAGTACCTATGCACCACTTGGGCCCCGGCGCACATGGCCAGGAGGCTGGCAGAGAACATTTTCAGGTAGGTGGCCCAGGACACGCCCGCGGGCATGGTCGGTGGGCTAGACGGGGAGGGAAAGTGGGCAATGTTAGGAGGGTCCCTGCAAACGACTCAACTATACGGGGAAAGAGGCCACGCGGAGGCCAAGGGGTGGAGTCAGAACACTTGGGTGCCACCCGCCCCCGGCGCCGCGAGTGCTCTGTACGAAGGAGGGCGCGGAGGGTCGTAGGTCCCTGCCAGGCTCAAGACCAGCATAGGTGGTTTCTTAGGACCGGGGGGCCTGGGCCTCCATTATCTAAAGGAATCTCTTACGGAGCCAGCGGAAGTCCGAGGGCGAGTGGTTTGCCCCGCGCCCCTTCAAACCCTAGGAGGAACTGCAGACCGCACTCCCCACCGACCCTAGGAGCACGCCCGGAGGGAGACAGTACCTCAGGCCCTCGGAAGTGCCCTCAGCCTCTGGAGCGGGCGGCCAGCAGGTGGAACCGAAAGTGCCGGGGCTGGGGGCTGCGCCGGACGGGAAAGCGGGGGCACCGCAGGCGCCGGCGGAGGCACGTGACCCAAGCGGAAATGGGACTTTGGGCAGGCGCTAGTGTCTTTTTCTTTTACCTTATTTCAAATTTAAACCAATTTCCAGCCCTTTCCCGGCCCCACGCTCCTGTCTCGCTCTTTCCTCTCCCTCGGTAGGTTTCCCCGGCAGGTGTCGAGTCTCGAGCTCAGCGTAACTGGATGTGCAGCATGTGTCCTTTTGACACACAAGGAAATCGCCCGCGTTTGCCACCCTTGCGGAGCAGATGGAGATCGGCACACCGAGGTCTGTGTACTTAGGTGCGGTCACCCGCAAGTGATGAAGTTAAAAGCACTCTCCGTCCTTGTGCTGGGAGGTCGTTTGATACCTGAAACAGCCACACTTAACATAGCTATACCCTTGTGCTCTGGTTATTGGAAAAGAGGAAACCCGAAATCGACATTATTTAATCTGTGCACTTTCAGATTGTGCTTTGATTATGGATTGACTTTTGTTGAGAACAGTGATAAAAGGACTTAATTCCGAAGGATTGTAGCTGTATGTGTAACACTAATCATGATGCACTCGCTTTTAAAACACTTCATGGAGGTGTATTTAACATAAACCTCACATCTAACGTATACAATTTGATGGGGTTTTGTTGTCGGGCAGCTGCATCTGGGGAGATGTGTACACCCGTATAACCATTACTACAACCAAAATTACAAACATATCCATTACTCCTGTAAGTTTCTTTTGTGCCTCTTTCTAATCCCACGTCACCTCCTCACTTGCACAACCTCCAATGTACTTTGTCAGAATACATAAATTTGCATTTTCTGAAATAAGTATGTAAATGAAATTAGCATGTATTATTTTAGTCTGGCTTATTTCATGCAGCACAATTTATTTTGAGATTCATCCACATCTTTGCATGTATCAGTAACTGACTTTATTGCTGAATGTGTTTATATCACAACTGGTTTATCCATTCACGTTTGGTGGACACTGGTTGTTTACAGTTTGGGGCTTATACGAATAAAGTTGTTAAGAATGGTAAAGTATACCAGAGAGACACATACACAAATCTGTGAATATATGCTTCCAATTCTATTGGGTACATTCCTAGGAGTAGAATGTCTGCAGCATGTGATAGGAGGTAAATGTATATTTAATTTTTTAAGAAATTGACAAACTGTTTTCCAAAGTAGTGCAGTTTTACGTTCCCATCACAGTGTTAAGAGTTCCAGTTCCTCTGCGTCCTCTCCCAACACTTCCTCTGGTTAGTCTTTTTAATTTGGGGCACTCTAATAGGTTGGTAATGGTATCTCATGACTTAACAATGTTGAGAATCCTTTTATGTGCTTATATTTTCTTTGGCGAAACATCTGTTCAAATTGTTTACCCATTTTTTTATTGCATTCTTTAAATTATGAGTCTTGAGTCTTCCTTATATATTATGGATACAAGTCCTTTATCAGACATTCGATCTGCAAATATTTTCTCCCAGTCTATAGATTTTTTTTTTCTTCTTAATATATTTTTGAAGAACAGCTTTTAATTTCAAACATTAAACAGATTTAAGTTTCAAGCATTAATCAAATCCTTGGCATATCTGTTGAAAACAGCAGATGTACAGAAATGTGATATTAAAGGTCAGAAGCCAGTTTCAAGAAATTCAGAAAGCTAACTTCTCTTATGATAATTACACTCTGAGAGAATATTTATAAATCATACATTCTTATAAACTAAGAAAACATTACACCTTGTCTTTTTTAATTCTCAAAGAATACATGAGATGAATAAGAAATTCCAGGACAATATCTTTAAGGTGAGATAAGTACCACAAAATATTATTAGCATAGCTGAAAACGGGTTTGGATTCCTTAAAGAGCTCTTAAGTGATAAACTATTAAGAATGGATTCCACCATAGAGAAAAACTGAGGGGCACATCTATTTATATCTTGAATTTTCTACCATGCATCCCAAACCACATTTTATGTACAAAACCCCAGGAGTCCCATTTACATTGTAGTCTATCAGTAAGGGGTCCTATGTCTGCATGTGTTATGTCTCCCCTCTTAGAAGGACACCACTCATTGGATTTAGAGCTTTCTAAATCTAGTATGTTTTCATCTTGACTTGATACATCTACTAAGACCCTGTTTCCTTAGTGGTAAGGCCATATGCACAGATACCAGGTAGACATGAATTTGGGAGAGACACTATTCAACTCAGCATAAGACCCTATTGCCTACTCAAAATTTTTTCAAATACATAAAAATTGAACATTCACTGAAAAAAAAAGTCCAAAGGCGCATAAATTTTAAAAATAAGACAACTCTTTTGAAACCCAGAAAATCTTGCATGCTCCCCTAAAACGAATGTGCTTTAAAGCTCCCTAGCACATATTTTTTTTCCTAAATCATTTGTTTGAAATGTAGCTATTCTCCCACACTGACACTACAAAGCCCTATTCTACAAAATATAGCTTAATATTAAAGACCTACAGTAAAAGCAATCAACTGAGTAGACACAGGAGAGTGAACTACAAGTGTCCTCATTTGCTCCCTGTCATTTGGAAGAATAAGCCCTATTATAATGGCTTTTCAAACTTTTGCGATCACAATTCACTTTAAGAAATAATTCTAACATCATGATCCCATATGTATACGTGTGCGTGTGTATCGTCTTACAAAACAGTAACACTTATTCCATATAAACACTTCCACATTTCCTATTCTGTTTCTGTTTTAAGGCAGTTATTTTCAGCACCCACTTGTTTATGAAATTAAGCAGTTCTGAAATTTGCCTCACATAAGGCCTCTTGGACATAGAGACATATTTGGCAAAGATAAGAGGACATTTCTTCTAGGCTTTCCCAAGCCCCTTTCTAACAAGCAGAGCAAGTTTGTCTTTCAGATTCAAACTTAACGGTGGTGAGAGAGACACAGTTGGGGTAGGAGTCACTTTGCTGCAACTGCTTCACCATTTCTTTCCATCACGATTCACTATAAGAAATACTTCTAACATCATCCCATATGTATACATGTTCGTGTGTATAAAGTCTTTGATGTCCTGCTCCCCAACAACTCTTCCAATAAAATCTTCCTTTTGCAAGTCAGAACTGAGCAAAGGTCCCTAGTCTGCTGATGGTATGAATGGAGCTGGCAGACCCACAACACATAGCACCCCACAGTAAGGGAGACCCTTGTGCTCAACAGTAACTTCTCAGTGAAAACGTCTTGAGAAAAGTTTGCAGCTCTTTACACACATTCAATCACCAGAATTCTCTCTGAAATAATTGAAGCAAGCCAGCTGCTTTAAAACTTTCTAAACTGTGGTCCTGAATAGTTAGAAAAACCAGAGAGAGGATGGGCTATGGTTCATTCATTCATTCAACAAATATTTATTGAATATCTACCATGAGTTATGTTAAGTAATACCTCCTAATGGACGGAGTTTGTAAAAACTCTGGAAACTTAAAAAACACTAAAAGTTTCACTTAAGCAATTGATATAATACAAACTTATCATTCTGGATTTACTTTTGAAAGCTCTTTCCAGGATCCCAGAATGAAGAAAATAGATGAAGCACAGAGCTACCAACATTTCCCAGATGTTACATTAGTGAGAAACCTTTGTTCCTGTAAGCCACTGAGATTTTGGAGCCCATTTGTTACCAGGCTTAACTAGGAAAAGATAACTAATACAGCAGGCAACAGAAAACCAGAAAAGACTACAGCCATTAATGGTTATTTAATGAAGTTGTTAAATACCGGTGACAACTTGAGAACTAATGAAACAAAAACCACCTGTAAGAGACAGTGTTATTTATTCAGAAATAAACACAGGGGCTAGTCTGTAAGATTATAAAGTGGACGTGAGTCTTGAATGGTATTTACTGCAATAGATTTCAAATGTTAATATCTTTACATATCCAAAGTAAAGCAAACAATGGCTTATGTGAAGCTTCACATTTTACGAAGCAGTTTTACAATCACCATCATTTTACAGACTACGAACCTGAAGCCCAAGATGTCAGTCACACTGACTCCTGACAACGACGTCTTCTTATTTCCAAAGTCTCTTTCACTCACATCAGTTTTGATGATTAATACCTGATAGTTAATGCAAAACACTACTTTTACCCGGGTTAAAAGTTGAAGTGGAAAAGCCTGGATAATCCTGATAATCCCTCCTACAGAACACTCTCGACGACTTCACCTTTTTACTGCCCCCATCCGCCCACCACGGAAGAGCTGGGACTGACAAAAGCTTACGTCAGCAGAGTGCGCGCACCCCCTCCCCTTTTCCGTCCTCCACCCTTCCCGAAAGGCCTAGCGGCGAACCTGCCGGCCGAGAAAGACGAACGTGATTGGACTGCTCTGAGTCACGTGACGACTACAAGGCGTGGGATTTGGCTCCGAACAGACGGAAGTACCCGCGGAGGGCGGGGTTTAGGTGGGTTTAGGGGAGCTGGAAGCTTGGGGGAGGAGCTTGCGGACTAGCTGCTGTCCCAGTTTCGCCAGCAGTCGTGGCCCAGGCTGGATATTGTACCGCCGGACGTAAGCCGTGGTACTACAGAGACCAGTCTCTCGCTTGCCTGGCAGGAGTAGCCTCCTCCCACGCGAAAGGAAGCAAGGAATGGAAGCAGAGAACGCGGGCAGGTAAGGCCGGGGCGGAGTGGCCGACTGGCGAGCACGACTAGCGGGCACGCGCACGCAACGCAGGGGTCTTTAAATGCCACGGCCTGAGTACAAAGGCCGGGCCGCGCGTGCGCACTGCCGGCCTGCTCGCTTCTCACCTGGACTGTTGGGACGCACCTGAGACCCTCTTCCTCCCCGGCGTCTACCCATACGTGAGGGGAACGTTTTTACAAAGCACAGATTTCGAGGGTTTGAACTCCAGGCAGAAAATCGAATAAGAAAATAAATAAATTAGATATGGCAACAGGTCTTTAAAAGAAAAAAAAAGATTTGCATGTACAATAATGTCAAACAGCCTAATGAATTTTGATTTTCAGTGGCCACTGGGCCCTTACCCATGCAAGACGTTTCACTGCTCTGGTCCTGTTCATGTCTATAAAATAGGGCATCTCTGGACAAGAGTTCTGACCACATTCTATGAATCAGTGTTCATGTGGAAGTAAGTCACCAAGATAGACTTTAGGAAAGGAGATATATATATATATATAGATAAAGTGTGGACTTCATCCTGACTTTGTGTGGCAATCCTGAAATGAAGTACTCCGCTTCTTTCTCAGGAAAACTTTGCAAATAAAAAATTCACCAGCACTTATGGAAGTTGCTTTCAGCTTTGTGATCTTACTTAAGATCAGAATTGAAGCCTTGATAAAGCCTACCATCAAATGAATTACACATTATGAGACCTTATTCAGTATCTTACATCATAGTAGATCTCTGATACAATGTTTAACTAAAAAGTGTCCTAACATATTCTATCTTAGCCACAGAATTGTAGAGCATTTTTAATTTTGATTCATAAAGATTTCATCTCTGGAAATCTAGAGAATTCTGTGTTAATACTCTAATGAATTTGTTCTTGGAAATTATAAAATGTCTCAGGCCCCATGTAATTCTGAGAAAGTGGCTCTCTGTCACCTTTGCAATAATCAAGGAATGGAGTGGAATGCTGGGTATAATAAATTTATTTTTTATTTTAGAAGGTTAACTTGAAAAAATTTCAAAGAAAAAATTCCATAGATGTAGACTTAGGAAAAAAAAAGAAGATAGCCCAAGAGTCATGACATGCACTTACTGCCTAATCAGAGAGGAAAAAAGGAGGAGGACCAGTATGTTTCTAATGAGCCCAAGAATGAAAAGAACATTTTACTAAAGATAGAAAGTAGAATGACAAATCAAAAATGACTACAGAGGTGTGGTACAGACCACTGAGTAGACACACAGGAAAGATTAACCCTCAAATGAAATCAGCCTTTCTAGAAATATTAAAGAGCCCAAGAACAACTTTTTTAGTTAAGTGTGGACAATGGGAAGACAAAGTTTTGTGTTTTCTGTCTAGTCTATTGACATGGTGTTAGTAGCTGACAGAAACCATAAGGACTTAGTTGTGATTTTGATTTTTCATCTCCAGTGAAGGCATTTAAGAGAACCTTTAAGTGTTGTAACAAAAATATATTTCCTGGTCTAGATGAATTACATTCCAAATGAGAGGCCAGATTATGGGCAGTCTTAAAGAACCGTAGGCAACATGAGAGGGGACTGGAAGCCTGAAAATAAAAAATGGGTTCTTATTTCCTCTAAAAGGTGGACTCTGTCCTCTAGTTTATTGACTTTGATCCTAAACCAAACTTTATATCTCAGTGGTTGTTGAGCATATTTAAAAGAAACTAGTGGCGATTAGGCTACAATAGAAGTTCAGAAAAAAGCAAGACCTACCAAGCTAGGTTCATTCCCTTTTGGATAATGATACTAGACTAACCAGCATCAAGAGGAGAATGGAGGGAGGCACCAAAAATATTTAATCATCTGCTGTTTTTATAATTGTTATAGTAAATTTACTGTATACCAGGCATTGTTTTAAGTGTTTTACATGAGGTAACTAATATAATCCTCATAACCAATGAATTCCTACTTTACAGATGTGGATGGAAGCTAGGACATAAAGAGTTAAAGAACCTGCTTACAGAGCTAGCAAGTGATAGAACTGAAATTTGAACCCAGGCAGTGTGGCTTCAAAGTCTGCTTCCCTAACAACTGCCATACCTCTTCTTTTTGTGGGCCAGATGAAGATGGACTGACTGATAGCAGTCCAGTTAGGTGAAACCAAAACTGGTTCACTACTGAAAGCATCAAGGGCAGGCTGAGGAGAGGTCTATACTGAAGTGCCATGTAGTTCTACCGCAACTTTATTCTTTTCAACAGTTGAGTAACTTAAAAGTGCTGGTGGCATGCTGGTAAAATTTATCAGTGATCCATCTCTGGGTGGGGTTTGTAGAAATGATAGGTTGTATAGGAATCCAGATCAATCCCACCTGGCTGGATGGGGAGTCACCTTTTACAAAAAGAAGCACAATCTTGTGCTTAGGTGCAGAAAGATCAATGATACAAGTGTGAGGTGAGTGAGGTGATAAAAGGGCAGTTTTCATTGATGGAAAACAGTGTGAATCAAGAGTATAATGTCGGTGCCAGTGAAACTAATGTAATGGATTCTGTAATATGTCTGCAGAATGAGGAGGTTTATAGCCCTGCTTAGTTTCAGGATGACAAGGCTGTATCTGGAGTGTTTTTTTGTTTGATCTGCACACCAAAAATGAGGAAACCTGAAATCATACTATATGAAAAATAATTAAATGAACCGGGGACCCGGGCTTATTCTAAATCTTTGTGTTTACAGTTTCTAGTAAACTGTACGCTGTAAGAACCCAGTAATGCATGCCGAATACACACACTTCCACTTAGCAATATTAAATGTAGTTTTAAATAGTTATGTTGGTATTGCATTGTGGTTTACAGAACTANGCCCTATTATAATGGCTTTTCAAACTTTTGCGATCACAATTCACTTTAAGAAATAATTCTAACATCATGATCCCATATGTATACGTGTGCGTGTGTATCGTCTTACAAAACAGTAACACTTATTCCATATAAACACTTCCACATTTCCTATTCTGTTTCTGTTTTAAGGCAGTTATTTTCAGCACCCACTTGTTTATGAAATTAAGCAGTTCTGAAATTTGCCTCACATAAGGCCTCTTGGACATAGAGACATATTTGGCAAAGATAAGAGGACATTTCTTCTAGGCTTTCCCAAGCCCCTTTCTAACAAGCAGAGCAAGTTTGTCTTTCAGATTCAAACTTAACGGTGGTGAGAGAGACACAGTTGGGGTAGGAGTCACTTTGCTGCAACTGCTTCACCATTTCTTTCCATCACGATTCACTATAAGAAATACTTCTAACATCATCCCATATGTATACATGTTCGTGTGTATAAAGTCTTTGATGTCCTGCTCCCCAACAACTCTTCCAATAAAATCTTCCTTTTGCAAGTCAGAACTGAGCAAAGGTCCCTAGTCTGCTGATGGTATGAATGGAGCTGGCAGACCCACAACACATAGCACCCCACAGTAAGGGAGACCCTTGTGCTCAACAGTAACTTCTCAGTGAAAACGTCTTGAGAAAAGTTTGCAGCTCTTTACACACATTCAATCACCAGAATTCTCTCTGAAATAATTGAAGCAAGCCAGCTGCTTTAAAACTTTCTAAACTGTGGTCCTGAATAGTTAGAAAAACCAGAGAGAGGATGGGCTATGGTTCATTCATTCATTCAACAAATATTTATTGAATATCTACCATGAGTTATGTTAAGTAATACCTCCTAATGGACGGAGTTTGTAAAAACTCTGGAAACTTAAAAAACACTAAAAGTTTCACTTAAGCAATTGATATAATACAAACTTATCATTCTGGATTTACTTTTGAAAGCTCTTTCCAGGATCCCAGAATGAAGAAAATAGATGAAGCACAGAGCTACCAACATTTCCCAGATGTTACATTAGTGAGAAACCTTTGTTCCTGTAAGCCACTGAGATTTTGGAGCCCATTTGTTACCAGGCTTAACTAGGAAAAGATAACTAATACAGCAGGCAACAGAAAACCAGAAAAGACTACAGCCATTAATGGTTATTTAATGAAGTTGTTAAATACCGGTGACAACTTGAGAACTAATGAAACAAAAACCACCTGTAAGAGACAGTGTTATTTATTCAGAAATAAACACAGGGGCTAGTCTGTAAGATTATAAAGTGGACGTGAGTCTTGAATGGTATTTACTGCAATAGATTTCAAATGTTAATATCTTTACATATCCAAAGTAAAGCAAACAATGGCTTATGTGAAGCTTCACATTTTACGAAGCAGTTTTACAATCACCATCATTTTACAGACTACGAACCTGAAGCCCAAGATGTCAGTCACACTGACTCCTGACAACGACGTCTTCTTATTTCCAAAGTCTCTTTCACTCACATCAGTTTTGATGATTAATACCTGATAGTTAATGCAAAACACTACTTTTACCCGGGTTAAAAGTTGAAGTGGAAAAGCCTGGATAATCCTGATAATCCCTCCTACAGAACACTCTCGACGACTTCACCTTTTTACTGCCCCCATCCGCCCACCACGGAAGAGCTGGGACTGACAAAAGCTTACGTCAGCAGAGTGCGCGCACCCCCTCCCCTTTTCCGTCCTCCACCCTTCCCGAAAGGCCTAGCGGCGAACCTGCCGGCCGAGAAAGACGAACGTGATTGGACTGCTCTGAGTCACGTGACGACTACAAGGCGTGGGATTTGGCTCCGAACAGACGGAAGTACCCGCGGAGGGCGGGGTTTAGGTGGGTTTAGGGGAGCTGGAAGCTTGGGGGAGGAGCTTGCGGACTAGCTGCTGTCCCAGTTTCGCCAGCAGTCGTGGCCCAGGCTGGATATTGTACCGCCGGACGTAAGCCGTGGTACTACAGAGACCAGTCTCTCGCTTGCCTGGCAGGAGTAGCCTCCTCCCACGCGAAAGGAAGCAAGGAATGGAAGCAGAGAACGCGGGCAGGTAAGGCCGGGGCGGAGTGGCCGACTGGCGAGCACGACTAGCGGGCACGCGCACGCAACGCAGGGGTCTTTAAATGCCACGGCCTGAGTACAAAGGCCGGGCCGCGCGTGCGCACTGCCGGCCTGCTCGCTTCTCACCTGGACTGTTGGGACGCACCTGAGACCCTCTTCCTCCCCGGCGTCTACCCATACGTGAGGGGAACGTTTTTACAAAGCACAGATTTCGAGGGTTTGAACTCCAGGCAGAAAATCGAATAAGAAAATAAATAAATTAGATATGGCAACAGGTCTTTAAAAGAAAAAAAAAGATTTGCATGTACAATAATGTCAAACAGCCTAATGAATTTTGATTTTCAGTGGCCACTGGGCCCTTACCCATGCAAGACGTTTCACTGCTCTGGTCCTGTTCATGTCTATAAAATAGGGCATCTCTGGACAAGAGTTCTGACCACATTCTATGAATCAGTGTTCATGTGGAAGTAAGTCACCAAGATAGACTTTAGGAAAGGAGATATATATATATATATAGATAAAGTGTGGACTTCATCCTGACTTTGTGTGGCAATCCTGAAATGAAGTACTCCGCTTCTTTCTCAGGAAAACTTTGCAAATAAAAAATTCACCAGCACTTATGGAAGTTGCTTTCAGCTTTGTGATCTTACTTAAGATCAGAATTGAAGCCTTGATAAAGCCTACCATCAAATGAATTACACATTATGAGACCTTATTCAGTATCTTACATCATAGTAGATCTCTGATACAATGTTTAACTAAAAAGTGTCCTAACATATTCTATCTTAGCCACAGAATTGTAGAGCATTTTTAATTTTGATTCATAAAGATTTCATCTCTGGAAATCTAGAGAATTCTGTGTTAATACTCTAATGAATTTGTTCTTGGAAATTATAAAATGTCTCAGGCCCCATGTAATTCTGAGAAAGTGGCTCTCTGTCACCTTTGCAATAATCAAGGAATGGAGTGGAATGCTGGGTATAATAAATTTATTTTTTATTTTAGAAGGTTAACTTGAAAAAATTTCAAAGAAAAAATTCCATAGATGTAGACTTAGGAAAAAAAAAGAAGATAGCCCAAGAGTCATGACATGCACTTACTGCCTAATCAGAGAGGAAAAAAGGAGGAGGACCAGTATGTTTCTAATGAGCCCAAGAATGAAAAGAACATTTTACTAAAGATAGAAAGTAGAATGACAAATCAAAAATGACTACAGAGGTGTGGTACAGACCACTGAGTAGACACACAGGAAAGATTAACCCTCAAATGAAATCAGCCTTTCTAGAAATATTAAAGAGCCCAAGAACAACTTTTTTAGTTAAGTGTGGACAATGGGAAGACAAAGTTTTGTGTTTTCTGTCTAGTCTATTGACATGGTGTTAGTAGCTGACAGAAACCATAAGGACTTAGTTGTGATTTTGATTTTTCATCTCCAGTGAAGGCATTTAAGAGAACCTTTAAGTGTTGTAACAAAAATATATTTCCTGGTCTAGATGAATTACATTCCAAATGAGAGGCCAGATTATGGGCAGTCTTAAAGAACCGTAGGCAACATGAGAGGGGACTGGAAGCCTGAAAATAAAAAATGGGTTCTTATTTCCTCTAAAAGGTGGACTCTGTCCTCTAGTTTATTGACTTTGATCCTAAACCAAACTTTATATCTCAGTGGTTGTTGAGCATATTTAAAAGAAACTAGTGGCGATTAGGCTACAATAGAAGTTCAGAAAAAAGCAAGACCTACCAAGCTAGGTTCATTCCCTTTTGGATAATGATACTAGACTAACCAGCATCAAGAGGAGAATGGAGGGAGGCACCAAAAATATTTAATCATCTGCTGTTTTTATAATTGTTATAGTAAATTTACTGTATACCAGGCATTGTTTTAAGTGTTTTACATGAGGTAACTAATATAATCCTCATAACCAATGAATTCCTACTTTACAGATGTGGATGGAAGCTAGGACATAAAGAGTTAAAGAACCTGCTTACAGAGCTAGCAAGTGATAGAACTGAAATTTGAACCCAGGCAGTGTGGCTTCAAAGTCTGCTTCCCTAACAACTGCCATACCTCTTCTTTTTGTGGGCCAGATGAAGATGGACTGACTGATAGCAGTCCAGTTAGGTGAAACCAAAACTGGTTCACTACTGAAAGCATCAAGGGCAGGCTGAGGAGAGGTCTATACTGAAGTGCCATGTAGTTCTACCGCAACTTTATTCTTTTCAACAGTTGAGTAACTTAAAAGTGCTGGTGGCATGCTGGTAAAATTTATCAGTGATCCATCTCTGGGTGGGGTTTGTAGAAATGATAGGTTGTATAGGAATCCAGATCAATCCCACCTGGCTGGATGGGGAGTCACCTTTTACAAAAAGAAGCACAATCTTGTGCTTAGGTGCAGAAAGATCAATGATACAAGTGTGAGGTGAGTGAGGTGATAAAAGGGCAGTTTTCATTGATGGAAAACAGTGTGAATCAAGAGTATAATGTCGGTGCCAGTGAAACTAATGTAATGGATTCTGTAATATGTCTGCAGAATGAGGAGGTTTATAGCCCTGCTTAGTTTCAGGATGACAAGGCTGTATCTGGAGTGTTTTTTGTTTGATCTGCACACCAAAAATGAGGAAACCTGAAATCATACTATATGAAAAATAATTAAATGAACCGGGGACCCGGGCTTATTCTAAATCTTTGTGTTTACAGTTTCTAGTAAACTGTACGCTGTAAGAACCCAGTAATGCATGCCGAATACACACACTTCCACTTAGCAATATTAAATGTAGTTTTAAATAGTTATGTTGGTATTGCATTGTGGTTTACAGAACTAGTAGCCTTTAGTTGGGCATGCATTTGGATTGCTTAGCATCAATTGTTATTTTGTAAAGTATTCAGTATTGCATATGCTTGTTTAAATGAAGATAGTAAAATGTTGCTGTTGACTGAATGTGTACTTCCAAAAATCTTAGGTTAAAACCTAACCCCCAGTTAGATGGAATTTGGAGGTGGGGAGCCTTTCGTATGTAATTAGGTCATGAGGGCAGAGCCTTCCTAAGTGGGATTAATGCCCTTATAAAGGAGGTCCCAGAGAGATCCCTTATCAGACATTAAGTCTATCAGCACCTTGAACTTGGACTTTTAGCCCCCAAAGCTATGAGAAACAAGTATGTGTTGTTTATAAGCCACCCAGTCTATGGTGTTTTGTTACAGCAGCCAGAATGGGCTAAGACAAATGCATTTAGAAAAAAGGGCTACTTCAGTCTTTAAAATAGTGGGAAATACCTGAGGATTAAAAAGTAGGATTATTCATTTTAGAGAAAAACATAAAAGACTTGTTTGAATAAAGAAAAATCTGAATTACCTGGACTCAGTCAGTTGTGTGTGTGTGCATGTGTTTTGAGAAAGACTCTCAGAAAATACAGAGTTCATCAGTTTCAGATAGCTAAAAAAACCAATCCTTTGAGCACTGTTGTTCAAGAGAAAGTGAGTGCAGATGGAGGCTAGGAGAGAGGAAAGGGTTAATTGCAGGAAAAGGAGAGAAGTAGCACCGAACAGTTGTGGGTGCAAATGTAAGTGATAGGGAAGAAAAGTGAGTGAGAAGAAATAAAATCACTCATCATGCTTGTCAGTTTGAAATCAAGGAGTTAAAATAAAAACTCTTTGGGGTCTGTTCTGAATCTGGAGGGATTTTATCTTATTTCCTATACATTGTCCATATATGTAGAAATCACTGAATCCCATCCCTAATTTTTATGGTGAGGGAGTGGAGGTCCTGAGAGGATGATCAACTTGGCTAATTGTTCCTTTGTTGCTCACCCTCATACAGAGAAAATATTGTTCATGAACATTGCACAATTCCAAATTACGGGGTGGCAATTACATATAAATACAACAAATGTATGTAAGAAATATTTTCCACATAAGGGTTCAAACAGGTTTACGCTGCTTGCAAATTTAACTGTTATTAGATAATAGAAAGTTAAACTTTCCAAGACTCCTTAGTTATAGCATTCGTGGCTAGTTTAGTTCCAGTTGCCTAGCATTAAAGTTCCTGAAGGTTTTTGTACAGAGGTAATGCTTCTGCCAAGTAGTAAAAATGTTGTAATCCACCCATTTTCCTTTTGCTCTGGCTGTTGGGAAGCTGTTAAGATGATCAGGCTAAACTTAACAATCAGATAGTCTATCACCTCAGAACTTGAGCATTCTGTTTTCCATAGCTTTATTTTTCTATTTCTGTTCTAATTTGACTTACTATAAAGGGCCAGAGATCATTTTTAGAAAGATTAAGGGATACATGAATGCTCTAAGTTTCTTTCAAAATTGATATGTATCTCTAAAATAAAACTTCAGGTTTTCTCTTCTTTTTCTTCAGCCAACTGATATCCAAAATTCTAATTTTTGGTTTCTGAGCCTCAGAATTTAATGACCCCTAACTAGGCTTGAGCCACATTTTGGAAATTTAGTTTTTAAAGTTCAGAATTCTTTTGTGATGGGAGTGGTGTCTCCCTAAATTACATATTTCAAGTTCCGATTCTTGTGAAGTGCTTCAAATGAGACACATGTGTGAGATAGAGTGGTAGGTTGCCTTCCAGACAGTGTGACAAACTACGAAGAGCTCTCCTGCATTCTTTTTGCCACATTTATTGTGACCACATGTCTTTACTTTTCTATATTCAAGCTGAAAGGGGTTGTCCATATCTCGGAAACTGCCACTGGCCACAATTAAAAGTTACGGTTTATTTTACTAGAATTTCTAAAGGGTAACTGCACAAGATCTCTTGATGTAACCTAGCCATATCCAACTCCTCATTAGAATAGTTAAGTCATAAACACTGAAGTACCAATATTTTTACCACTTATCAAAAAGCTATAAATATTATTTTTTAAGTATGAAAAAAAGAATATTTTACTTAGTGCCAGGCATGATGAAGCACTTCGCTTTTCATCTGTACGTTTTAACTTCTAGTCTTCATCTACATATTCTCCCTATGTGCAGCCATAGTTTTCAATATTCTTTAGTCTTTTCTTCTTTAAAGTATCTATTAAACATCTGTGCTTTCACAAAATATCAGTAAATTTAATTTTTAGTAGCTGCAAATCATTTTTCACATTAAAGTACCAAAGTTTGCTAAACCATTGTATCTTCTTTAGTATATAAGTTGAAAGCAATATATTTAAATAAATATGATATCTTAAGATATGGTTTAATATTTTCTAATTCTTAACCTTTTCTTTACTAACTTACCCTTACAAGTAGATGAAGCTGAAAGTCCTCTCCAGTGGTTTGTCCATTGATATTTGGCCCCTGTTTTTTTGTTTTGTTTTGTTTTGTTTTGTATTTGAGCATCCAACATTCTAGCCTAGCCACCCTGGGGGAGTCTGTTACCCTGGGTCTGTCTGGGCCATTTAAATTGATCCTGGGGAATGCTTTAGTTTCCCCCGTTTTTTCTTTAAACCATTTTACTAAGCTATGATTGACATACTATAGAGTTCACTAACTTCAAGTGTACTTGTTTGCCTTTTTCATCTCTATTTACAGAGAAAGAAAACTAGTAAGTAGAATAGCTCGCCACAGAAAGTAGAACTTTTCTCTCTGAAAGGTAAATGGTATTTACCTGTTTTATTTCCTAGTGTTTTCTTCTTAATTGGTATTTAATAGCATCATTTGGCAGTAGCTATAACTCGAACTTCATAAAATATGTTTACTTACCTACCTTCACGCTGATGGCAGCAGCTTGAGGTAGTAGTTTATGGTCACTAGAAACATTTTTTGGCAGTTTTCTGTGAAGGACTACCCTCCTTATATCGAACAGACTACTCTGAACAAAGTTTAAGTCATGTAGAGAAGAGGTTCAGAGTGGTTTTTCCCCACAAACTTACAGATATTGACAAAATGTCCATTTCCACTCTTCCTTTAGTGGCAAAAACCCAGCAACAGTTAAAAAACAGATCCAATGAATAAATAAGTAAACAGGCAAATAAACCAAAAAAGAACTTAAGTTAGATTGGAGGGGAGGTGGGAGTGGGTAGATGTTGATCAGAGAATACAGACTTCCAGTTATAAGATTAACCAGTTCTGGGGATCTAATGTACAGCATGAAGACTATAGCTAATACTGTTGCAATATTTGAAAGTTGCAATGAGAGCAAATCTTAAATGTTCTCACCACAGAAAAGAAATGGCAATTATGTGACATGATGGAGGTGTTAGCTAAGGCCACGTAATAATCATTTTGTAATACATGTGTATCAGATCATCCAGTTGTACACCTCCAGCTTTCACAAAGTTATGTTAATGTTATCAGTAAAGTTATATTGGTGGGGATCTTTGTGACAAGAGGACCTGGTACTGAGGGTGGGGATGCAGATGGTTCTTGTGGGTGCTTTAGCCCTGTGTGAGCTGGTGGGGCTTTGAGGTCTCTACAGAAAATTCCCATGATCTCATTTCAGAGACAGTACTGACTTGACAGGACAGGTAAGTTTTATTGATGACACATCTTGTCAGACGGTGTGAAAGTTAATTAATGTCTGGTGAATAGGCACTAAGATCAATGAACGTGTACACGTGGGAATAGATCTTCCTCCTTTCTGTGCCCCTGTTATCAACTCAAACTAAATACTAATTACAAAATACTTGGATCCTAAAGATTTTTCACAGCTGATCATTTCACCTCACATTTGGGTTCTTTTATTGTCATATCTTATATGTGGTCTTTCTTTCAGCTATTCCCTTCAGCAAACTCAAGCTTTTTGTACATTTCCATTTCAACAAATGATGGCTGAAGCTCCTAATATGGTGGTTATGAATGAACAGCAAATGCCAAGAGAAGTTCCAGACCCAGCTCCTCTTCAGGAACCCATACAAGGTAGTTTTTACCAGGATAGTTTAGTAAATTAGCTATTAGATTAGCCAACTTATTTAAGAAAGAATTTAATGATGAATTTTATTAGTGTTAAAAAATTTAATCCACTTTTTAAGTACTATGTGCCACGCACTGTGATAGATTTGGGGGAATAAAAGAACCTGGAGCCTTGAATATCTCATAATTGAGAAAATTATGAGGGAAAATAATACACAAATGCATGTTATACATCAGCACATTAAGCAGTGAAGAGGGGCATGAGAGACTGAGAGCCCATGGCACAGGCACCTAACTCAGGCTGTTGGTTGAGGCATCTTCCCACAGCTCTGAACTCAAGGTTGAGGAAATTTATCCCTGTGAAGAATGGAATGGGGAAGATCCCGGGCTGACATAGCAGCATGTGCCAAAGCGCAGACATGAAGAAGCATGACACACTTAAAAAACCAGTGATTTTGTGTCATTGGAGCCTGGGAGATAGCAAAGAAATGTCGAGGAATGAGGCTGGATGGGGGCAGCCAAAGCTGGTGGTTTAACAAGGGTGGAGGCAGGATGAAAATTGTATATTCTGTACTGATAGCAGGGAGTTGTTGAGAGAATGTGAGCAGAGGGTGACTTAAGCAGATTGACATTTTAGAAAATGAGCCTGAAAGTATTATGGAGGATAGATTAAATGGTAGAGAGCCAGGCAGAAGTTAGAGGCAAGGAGTGGATTAGAAACTGTCTGAATAACCTGAGGACAACATGAAGACCTGAAGGGGTGAAGAGGGACAGAATTAGAAAATACTCAGGAGGTAGAATGACCTGGTCATGGTTCATGGAGTTTATGTGAGGGACGAGGGAGAAAGAGCAATCTGGTAAATCCCAGGCAGTTGGGTGGAAGGTACCATTACCAAGGTAGAGAATTACAAGAGAGAATAGATTGGGGGTTGGGGTGGCGGCGGGCAATGGAGAGAAGGTAATGCTTTTCTCCAGTGTAGTAACTACCGTATGAGAAACGGGCTCGGGGTTTCAGTTATGATTCCAGGAACACATCCCAGTCCACCGCATTGGAGGCAGCCCTCCCCTGACTCGGTTTCCTGGGCAGGCAGCACCAGGCATCCAGCAGCTCCGGGCCAGCGAGGTGGATCCCTTGCCGTTGGGCGTGGCTCAAGCACAGTGAGGCAGAAGAGACAGGACAGGAAGTTGAGCTGGGGAAATGCCAAATAGGAGGGGCAGGGACCCAGGAATGAAGAGAGATGCTAAATAATTAAGGGTAAGGAAACCAAGTCTTCCTTTTGGGTAACTTGAGGTCAGCGGTTCTTGACCAGGGGTGATTTCGCCCCCACAAGGACTATTTGGCTTTGTCTGGAGTCACCTGTGATGTTTGTGACTGGCAGGTTGCTTTTGGCATCTAGTGGGTAGAGGCCAGGTCCAGGCCAGGTTGCAGTTAAATGTTCTATAATGTACCGCACAGCCCCCACAGTCAAAAATTACACAGCCAAAGACGTCAGTAGTGCCAGGATTGAGAAACTGCTTTAAGTCCTGAGATCAGATCCCTAGTCTTACCTTTTGAAAAATATTGCCAGCCCAGAGATTTCATCCTCAGCACCTCTGGCTGTGTGTGGAACAAAGAATATACATTCATGATCTCTAAAACAAACGTGCAAGCTATTTGAGGCTTTCTACTGTTGGAAATTTGTGAGAAATCAAGTTAAAATGTTTCCCTTCCTGTTTTTCTATTCATTTGTTTACTTAACTATTTGCATATTGATATTTGCAATTCCTATAAAATAGTACCTTTAAAATAGACCCTTTGTATCCCTGGGGAGGCCAAGATGCAAGATAAGATTGTGTGGAAAATCAGTGTATGATTATTATGGATGTTTCATCCCAAAACCAACTAGCAGAGGCAGGAGGGTGGGGGATGGGGCCACAGGAACCCAGTCCTGGAGTGAAGGGAAGGGAAGATACTGCCGAGGAGACTGATGCTGGGAAATAGAAGAGAAAGGCAAAACGGGGTGACTTTTCTGGAAAAGCAGCCTAAAGTTTCTAAGTTAACAGTTTTCTGCATCTACATCCTGGGAATCGTTTCAGAGACCCCAAAAAGGAAAAGAAAACCCAGAACAATGGAACCAAAGAAACCAGTGGAACCCAAAAAACCCACCGAGGCCAAAAAATCTGGCAAGTCCACAAAATCGAAAGAAAAGCAAGAAAAAATTACAGATACATTTAAAGTGAAAAGAAAAGTAGACCGTTTTAATGGTGTTTCAGAGGCTGAACTTTTGACCAAGACTCTCCCGGACATTTTGACCTTCAATCTGGACATTGTGATTGTAAGGATCTGTTCTCATTTGGTTTTATACATAGCATAGTAAAGGTACTTAACTTTTGTCCTTGCCAATGGCATTTTGCCGAAAAAAATGATTCTAAGAATCCTTTTGATAGTAAAAGGTGTCACCGTCAGGGTGCCGTTTTCATGGGTGTGTTAAGAGGGCAGGCTCCAGAGTGGGGTTCTCTGGTTTCAGACCCTGCCATCTGGGTACGACCTTGTCTTCCAGAACACCAATTTCCTCAGTGGTGAAACAAGGTTAGTAATAGTATCTCCCTCATAAGGTTGTGATAAACTAAAATAATCCATGCAAATCACTTAAATTACATGATACCTATGAGGTCAGCTGTACAGGTGAGGTGGAGTAAGCTGCTTGCTGGGAGTCAGGGAGGAGACTTGAGGCTGGACTTGCCCTCAGACCGGGCGATGGCTCCAGAACTCGCTCTTACCAGCCTTGTGGGTGAGGTAAAGGTGGGGAGTCTGAGGATGTGAAGGAGTCAAACTGGTCTTTAAAAACAGCAGCAAAACTTTTAATGTAAAGGGTATTTCTTTACTTAAAATGGAATGATTTGTTCATATGCAGAGTAGGTCATTAATAAACAATAATGCTTAGGATGCTGGATTAAATTTCTTCAGTAAATTCAGTTTTGTTCACAACTCCTCCACAGAGGCCCTAAGGCCTAAGTCCTACTTTTCAAGACTTAAATACATAAACATTTTTTGTAGATTGGCATAAACCCAGGACTGATGGCTGCTTACAAAGGGCATCATTACCCTGGACCTGGAAACCATTTTTGTGAGTGGTAACTTTTTTTATTGTTTTTCTTGTAAACTAGATATCATTGTTAAATAGTTTGGGTTTTGTTTTTTTTTAACAGAAGTATGTTTTTGAAAAGAGACTGTGTGTGTAAACATACCAACTTATTTTCTGCATGTGCATAAATAAGGTGTGAGATGATAGGTCGCTGTTAACATTTTGGTGTAAGAGAATGAAGGACATGAAAAGAAGTACTTCTCTTTTTTTAAGATTTTTTTTTAGTTGTTTCTACAGATAATAGTAACAATAGTATGTCATTGTGCCTGTGCAGACAGAATACTAACCTTTCCAAATTTCTGTGCGGAGATGAAATGCACTGATCATTGACAATCAGGTTGTCATAGTTAGGAGATGCTATGAAGGGAGACATTCTTTACAGATACTTCATACCTAGTGGAAAATAGTACAGTTCACCCTTGAACAACATGGGTTTGAACTGCACTGGTCCACTTATACACAAATTTTTTTCAGTAAATACATTGGAAACTTTTGGAGATCTGCAATAATTTGAAAAATTATTTTCTTTTCTCTAGCTTACTTTATTGTAAGAATACAGTATGAAATATATAACACATAAAATATGTGTTGACTATGTTATCAGTAAGGTTTCTGGTCAGCAGTAGGCTTTAGTAGTTAACTTTTGGGGAAGTCAAAAATTATATGCAGATTTTTGACTGCATGAAGGTCAGTGCCCCTAACCCGCATGTTGTTCAAGAGTCAACTGCATTAAAGGCCCCCATACTTGTAGAGTGAGCTTTAAAACCAAATATAATTACTGCTGTATTGTCCTGTTTATAAGTTAATCTAACACTGCCTAATAGATTAAGGCATGCAATAGGCCCTCAGGAAATATTAGTTGGTTATCTAAGAGTAGCATTAAAAACATTTAGAGTAAGTGATAGTAACATGTTTTTGTAGCTAATAACATATTGTCTCCATTATATTAAAAAAAATATTCTAGGGAAGTTCCAGCTTTTCATTTTCTCCACTGTCAAGGTATTTGAATGTTTTGAGTCCATTGATGAATGTTTATCTCCTTGAGGTGTTCCAGGGACAGGTGGTGGTATTACTCATCATTAGAAAGGAAAACAAACCACTTCAGAGTTTCCTACACTGACTAGCTATGTTTTAAGCATTTACCTTAACCCCCTATGAAAAGGAGATAAAAATTGTTAGTTGATTTTTGATAGTTATGATGATTAAATGAGATAATCTATATAAGGGCTTAGCATCGTACCTAGCACACAGAAATTGCTAGATGGTATTTGACCTTTGTTGTAATTTTCTAAATGTCCAAACATCCTAAGTCTTCTTCTTTTTTTTCATTTCAAGAGTAGAATGAGACTACCGTGTCAATTCATGGGGCAAAAACCTTTGAACTTCTACAAAAAAAATCTGAACTCTTTTTCACAGGGAAGTGCCTGTTTATGTCAGGGCTGAGTGAGGTCCAACTGAACCATATGGATGATCACACTTTACCAGGAAAGTATGGTATTGGATTTACTAATATGGTGGAAAGGACAACACCAGGCAGCAAGGATCTTTCCAGGTAATTATATAACATTTATTTTTATAGATTGGAACCTTCGCCATACTGGTGTTTCACATACCCTAGGAATATCATACATACCTAGTTCAAGCGGAGCTTAGCAAATATATTAACTGATTTTTTTTCTAAAGCTATTTGAATTTAGTATATTATAAATATTGCCATACTTATATTTTGACTACTTTTTAATTCAATTTTAGTAAAGAATTTCGTGAAGGAGGACGTATTCTAGTGCAGAAATTACAGAAATATCAACCACGAATAGCAGTGTTATACTATAGAGTTCACTAACTTCAAGTGTACTTGTTTGCCTTTTTCATCTCTATTTACAGAGAAAGAAAACTAGTAAGTAGAATAGCTCGCCACAGAAAGTAGAACTTTTCTCTCTGAAAGGTAAATGGTATTTACCTGTTTTATTTCCTAGTGTTTTCTTCTTAATTGGTATTTAATAGCATCATTTGGCAGTAGCTATAACTCGAACTTCATAAAATATGTTTACTTACCTACCTTCACGCTGATGGCAGCAGCTTGAGGTAGTAGTTTATGGTCACTAGAAACATTTTTTGGCAGTTTTCTGTGAAGGACTACACTCCTTATATCGAACAGACTACTCTGAACAAAGTTTAAGTCATGTAGAAAAGAGGTTCAGAGTGGTTTTTCCCCACAAACTTACAGATATTGACAAAATGTCCATTTCCACTCTTCCTTTAGTGGCAAAAACCCAGCAACAGTTAAAAAACAGATCCAATGAATAAATAAGTAAACAGGCAAATAAACCAAAAAAGAACTTAAGTTAGATTGGAGGGGAGGTGGGAGTGGGTAGATGTTGATCAGAGAATACAGACTTCCAGTTATAAGATTAACCAGTTCTGGGGATCTAATGTACAGCATGAAGACTATAGCTAATACTGTTGCAATATTTGAAAGTTGCAATGAGAGCAAATCTTAAATGTTCTCACCACAGAAAAGAAATGGCAATTATGTGACATGATGGAGGTGTTAGCTAAGGCCACGTAATAATCATTTTGTAATACATGTGTATCAGATCATCCAGTTGTACACCTCCAGCTTTCACAAAGTTATGTTAATGTTATCAGTAAAGTTATATTGGTGGGGATCTTTGTGACAAGAGGACCTGGTACTGAGGGTGGGGATGCAGATGGTTCTTGTGGGTGCTTTAGCCCTGTGTGAGCTGGTGGGGCTTTGAGGTCTCTACAGAAAATTCCCATGATCTCATTTCAGAGACAGTACTGACTTGACAGGACAGGTAAGTTTTATTGATGACACATCTTGTCAGACGGTGTGAAAGTTAATTAATGTCTGGTGAATAGGCACTAAGATCAATGAACGTGTACACGTGGGAATAGATCTTCCTCCTTTCTGTGCCCCTGTTATCAACTCAAACTAAATACTAATTACAAAATACTTGGATCCTAAAGATTTTTCACAGCTGATCATTTCACCTTACATTTGGGTTCTTTTATTGTCATATCTTATATGTGGTCTTTCTTTCAGCTATTCCCTTCAGCAAACTCAAGCTTTTTGTACATTTCCATTTCAACAAATGATGGCTGAAGCTCCTAATATGGTGGTTATGAACGAACAGCAAATGCCAAGAGAAGTTCCAGACCCAGCTCCTCTTCAGGAACCCATACAAGGTAGTTTTTACCAGGATAGTTTAGTAAATTAGCTATTAGATTAGCCAACTTATTTAAGAAAGAATTTAATGATGAATTTTATTAGTGTTAAAAAATTTAATCCACTTTTTAAGTACTATGTGCCACGCACTGTGATAGATTTGGGGGAATAAAAGAACCTGGAGCCTTGAATATCTCATAATTGAGAAAATTATGAGGGAAAATAATACACAAATGCATGTTATACATCAGCACATTAAGCAGTGAAGAGGGGCATGAGAGACTGAGAGCCCATGGCACAGGCACCTAACTCAGGCTGTTGGTTGAGGCATCTTCCCACAGCTCTGAACTCAAGGTTGAGGAAATTTATCCCTGTGAAGAATGGAATGGGGAAGATCCCGGGCTGACATAGCAGCATGTGCCAAAGCGCAGACATGAAGAAGCATGACACACTTAAAAAACCAGTGATTTTGTGTCATTGGAGCCTGGGAGATAGCAAAGAAATGTCGAGGAATGAGGCTGGATGGGGGCAGCCAAGGCTGGTGGTTTAACAAGGGTGGAGGCAGGATGAAAATTGTATATTCTGTCCTGATAGCAGGGAGTTGTTGAGAGAATGTGAGCAGAGGGTGACTTAAGCAGATTGACATTTTAGAAAATGAGCCTGAAAGTATTATGGAGGATAGATTAAATGGTAGAGAGCCAGGCAGAAGTTAGAGGCAAGGAGTGGATTAGAAACTGTCTGAATAACCTGAGGACAACATGAAGACCTGAAGGGGTGAAGAGGGACAGAATTAGAAAATACTCAGGAGGTAGAATGACCTGGTCATGGTTCATGGAGTTTATGTGAGGGACGAGGGAGAAAGAGCAATCTGGTAAATCCCAGGCAGTTGGGTGGAAGGTACCATTACCAAGGTAGAGAATTACAAGAGAGAATAGATTGGGGGTTGGGGTGGCGGCGGGCAATGGAGAGAAGGTAATGCTTTTCTCCAGTGTAGTAACTACCGTATGAGAAACGGGCTCGGGGTTTCAGTTATGATTCCAGGAACACATCCCAGTCCACCGCATTGGAGGCAGCCCTCCCCTGACTCGGTTTCCTGGGCAGGCAGCACCAGGCATCCAGCAGCTCCGGGCCAGCGAGGTGGATCCCTTGCCGTTGGGCGTGGCTCAAGCACAGTGAGGCAGAAGAGACAGGACAGGAAGTTGAGCTGGGGAAATGCCAAATAGGAGGGGCAGGGACCCAGGAATGAAGAGAGATGCTAAATAATTAAGGGTAAGGAAACCAAGTCTTCCTTTTGGGTAACTTGAGGTCAGCGGTTCTTGACCAGGGGTGATTTCGCCCCCACAAGGACTATTTGGCTTTGTCTGGAGTCACCTGTGATGTTTGTGACTGGCAGGTTGCTTTTGGCATCTAGTGGGTAGAGGCCAGGTCCAGGCCAGGTTGCAGTTAAATGTTCTATAATGTACCGCACAGCCCCCACAGTCAAAAATTACACAGCCAAAGACGTCAGTAGTGCCAGGATTGAGAAACTGCTTTAAGTCCTGAGATCAGATCCCTAGTCTTACCTTTTGAAAAATATTGCCAGCCCAGAGATTTCATCCTCAGCACCTCTGGCTGTGTGTGGAACAAAGAATATACATTCATGATCTCTAAAACAAACGTGCAAGCTATTTGAGGCTTTCTACTGTTGGAAATTTGTGAGAAATCAAGTTAAAATGTTTCCCTTCCTGTTTTTCTATTCATTTGTTTACTTAACTATTTGCATATTGATATTTGCAATTCCTATAAAATAGTACCTTTAAAATAGACCCTTTGTATCCCTGGGGAGGCCAAGATGCAAGATAAGATTGTGTGGAAAATCAGTGTATGATTATTATGGATGTTTCATCCCAAAACCAACTAGCAGAGGCAGGAGGGTGGGGGATGGGGCCACAGGAACCCAGTCCTGGAGTGAAGGGAAGGGAAGATACTGCCGAGGAGACTGATGCTGGGAAATAGAAGAGAAAGGCAAAACGGGGTGACTTTTCTGGAAAAGCAGCCTAAAGTTTCTAAGTTAACAGTTTTCTGCATCTACATCCTGGGAATCGTTTCAGAGACCCCAAAAAGGAAAAGAAAACCCAGAACAATGGAACCAAAGAAACCAGTGGAACCCAAAAAACCCACCGAGGCCAAAAAATCTGGCAAGTCCACAAAATCGAAAGAAAAGCAAGAAAAAATTACAGATACATTTAAAGTGAAAAGAAAAGTAGACCGTTTTAATGGTGTTTCAGAGGCTGAACTTTTGACCAAGACTCTCCCGGACATTTTGACCTTCAATCTGGACATTGTGATTGTAAGGATCTGTTCTCATTTGGTTTTATACATAGCATAGTAAAGGTACTTAACTTTTGTCCTTGCCAATGGCATTTTGCCGAAAAAAATGATTCTAAGAATCCTTTTGATAGTAAAAGGTGTCACCGTCAGGGTGCCGTTTTCATGGGTGTGTTAAGAGGGCAGGCTCCAGAGTGGGGTTATCTGGTTTCAGACCCTGCCATATGGGTACGACCTTGTCTTCCAGAACACCAATTTCCTCAGTGGTGAAACAAGGTTAGTAATAGTATCTCCCTCATAAGGTTGTGATAAACTAAAATAATCCATGCAAATCACTTAAATTACATGATACCTATGAGGTCAGCTGTACAGGTGAGGTGGAGTAAGCTGCTTGCTGGGAGTCAGGGAGGAGACTTGAGGCTGGACTTGCCCTCAGACCGGGCGATGGCTCCAGAACTCGCTCTTACCAGCCTTGTGGGTGAGGTAAAGGTGGGGAGTCTGAGGATGTGAAGGAGTCAAACTGGTCTTTAAAAACAGCAGCAAAACTTTTAATGTAAAGGGTATTTCTTTACTTAAAATGGAATGATTTGTTCATATGCAGAGTAGGTCATTAATAAACAATAATGCTTAGGATGCTGGATTAAATTTCTTCAGTAAATTCAGTTTTGTTCACAACTCCTCCACAGAGGCCCTAAGGCCTAAGTCCTACTTTTCAAGACTTAAATACATAAACATTTTTTGTAGATTGGCATAAACCCAGGACTGATGGCTGCTTACAAAGGGCATCATTACCCTGGACCTGGAAACCATTTTTGTGAGTGGTAACTTTTTTTATTGTTTTTCTTGTAAACTAGATATCATTGTTAAATAGTTTGGGTTTTGTTTTTTTTTAACAGAAGTATGTTTTTGAAAAGAGACTGTGTGTGTAAACATACCAACTTATTTTCTGCATGTGCATAAATAAGGTGTGAGATGATAGGTCGCTGTTAACATTTTGGTGTAAGAGAATGAAGGACATGAAAAGAAGTACTTCTCTTTTTTTAAGATTTTTTTTTAGTTGTTTCTACAGATAATAGTAACAATAGTATGTCATTGTGCCTGTGCAGACAGAATACTAACCTTTCCAAATTTCTGTGCGGAGATGAAATGCACTGATCATTGACAATCAGGTTGTCATAGTTAGGAGATGCTATGAAGGGAGACATTCTTTACAGATACTTCATACCTAGTGGAAAATAGTACAGTTCACCCTTGAACAACATGGGTTTGAACTGCACTGGTCCACTTATACACAAATTTTTTTCAGTAAATACATTGGAAACTTTTGGAGATCTGCAATAATTTGAAAAATTATTTTCTTTTCTCTAGCTTACTTTATTGTAAGAATACAGTATGAAATATATAACACATAAAATATGTGTTGACTATGTTATCAGTAAGGTTTCTGGTCAGCAGTAGGCTTTAGTAGTTAACTTTTGGGGAAGTCAAAAATTATATGCAGATTTTTGACTGCATGAAGGTCAGTGCCCCTAACCCGCATGTTGTTCAAGAGTCAACTGCATTAAAGGCCCCCATACTTGTAGAGTGAGCTTTAAAACCAAATATAATTACTGCTGTATTGTCCTGTTTATAAATTAATCTAACACTGCCTAATAGATTAAGGCATGCAATAGGCCCTCAGGAAATATTAGTTGGTTATCTAAGAGTAGCATTAAAAACATTTAGAGTAAGTGATAGTAGCATGTTTTTGTAGCTAATAACATATTGTCTCCATTATATTAAAAAAAATATTCTAGGGAAGTTCCAGCTTTTCATTTTCTCCACTGTCAAGGTATTTGAATGTTTTGAGTCCATTGATGAATGTTTATCTCCTTGAGGTGTTCCAGGGACAGGTGGTGGTATTACTCATCATTAGAAAGGAAAACAAACCACTTCAGAGTTTCCTACACTGACTAGCTATGTTTTAAGCATTTACCTTAACCCCCTATGAAAAGGATATAAAAATTGTTAGACGATTTTTGATAGTTATGATGATTAAATGAGATGATCTATACAAGGGCTTAGCATCGTACCTAGCACACAGAAATTGCTAGATGGTATTTGACCTTTGTTGTAATTTTCTAAATGTCCAAACATCCTAAGTCTTCTTTTTTTTCATTTCAAGAGTAGAATGAGGCTACCGTGTCAATTCATGGGGCAAAAACCTTTGAACTTCTACAAAAAAAATCTGAACTCTTTTTCACAGGGAAGTGCCTGTTTATGTCAGGGCTGAGTGAGGTCCAACTGAACCATATGGATGATCACACTTTACCAGGAAAGTATGGTATTGGATTTACTAATATGGTGGAAAGGACAACACCAGGCAGCAAGGATCTTTCCAGGTAATTATATAACATTTATTTTTATAGATTGGAACCTTCGCCATACTGGTGTTTCACATACCCTAGGAATATCATACTTACCTAGTTCAAGCGGAGCTTAGCAAATATATTAACTGATTTTTTTTCTAAAGCTATTTGAATTTAGTATATTATAAATATTGCCATACTTATATTTTGACTACTTTTTAATTCAATTTTAGTAAAGAATTTCGTGAAGGAGGACGTATTCTAGTGCAGAAATTACAGAAATATCAACCACGAATAGCAGTGTTTAATGGAAAATGTAAGATTTGCTTTTAAACTTAATCTTTATACTTTGCTAACTTTATGGGCAATGTAAATACATTTTATTTCATTTTAGGTATTTATGAAATTTTTAGTAAAGAAGTTTTTGGAGTAAAGGTTAAGAACTTAGAATTTGGGCTTCAGCCCCACAAGATCCCAGACACAGAAACTGTAAGTCCTTAAAATTACATTTGTAAATCAGCTAAATAAGATTTTTTTCCTGGCTCAATTCCTTTTTTCATTTTCCTACAATTTCATTGCAATTTATACCATAAAAAAACACATTGTATTTTGTTGAGTAATATCTTTATATCAATTTGCACTAATAGTTACAAGTTATTTCAGAAACTATTACAATTGTGTAAGGAAAAGAACACTTGTCAGGTAAAGTGTCTTAATGATATTACTTGGCTAAGATATTGAGAGGAGCTGGCTCACACACTATATTCAAAATATATTTAGTGGCATATTCTTATGGAATTCAGGTGGATTAGCCCTTACTCAGTTGTGAACCAAACATGTAAATATAGGTATGATCCCAATTAGTAAAATTTCTGATTGCCCTCTGTTTATGTAACTTAGCCCAACTTCATTTTGTAGCCATACAAATAGTACAGTCCAGTTGCAGACATGCCTCAGCCAACCTGACTGGCACTTGGTACTGTGTCTTATACATAAAGGCATTATGAAATGACATGGTGATTTTCAGACTCTATCATTTCTGCATACATTGGTTCAAATTTTGCTTCTAGGTTTGTTTACAACTTTTAAAAAATGCACAGATCCATGTGTTATAGACAACATTTTAAATGTTAGAGAAGCCAGTGTGCTAACGGGTTTTCGTGATGTCAGAATGAAGTTGCTGCCACCTATCTACATTTTAACTTCTTCTTTTTAAATTTCTTCTGTTTTTAACTTCTTAGAAATGTGTGATTGATAAAGTAGGTTGTAGCATTGCTCTTTCTTTAAATTGAGGCCTACCCTTGTCTACTTGGGTAAAATTGTACAGGTGAGTTCAGTAGTCCCTAAAGAGTATTAAAAGTCACGTGAGGCTCAGGTACATCTCTCAGATATATGTGATCATAGTAGTGCAATAATAAGTGAACTTGAATCATACCATGCTGGGTAGTTTTAGCCCTTATAATGAGCTGTGAGTGCATTTATCTTTTAAAGTTTATTCTTTATCATGAAATGTTTATAGTTACGGATGATTTAGTGATTCAGCTTTGAAACAAAAAATTCTTTTTCAAATTTCTCCATCACTTTAATTAAAGAATATGTTGGTAGTAGAAAATGTTCTTTTACAAAACCTGGTAGCATTTGCACCTACATATCTTTTTGCATCAGGATTTCTAAATGCTTTCTCAATAAAACAAATTACTTTTTCCATGCTGCATAGTATGGAGGCCAGTATAAAAATCGCAAAATAATTGTAACTGAAAATTCCATAATCCAGCAGCCTCATTCTTTTGTGTATGTAAGATATATATTGTTATACAGGTGACCCATGAACAAGACAGAATTGAACTGTACATTTCTACTCATATGCTGATTTTTTTCAATAAATATATTGAAAAATTTTTTGGAGATTTGTGACAACTTGAAAAAACAATTTTCTCCTTGCTTATTTTATTATGAAAGTACAGTTGTAACACATATGACATGTGCTAATTGTATGTTGTTATTATTAATGCTTCCAGTCAGCAATAGGCTATTAGTAGTTAAGTTTGGGGGAGTCAAAAGTTATGCATGGGTTTTTGACTGTGCAGGGATTGGCCTCACTAACATCTGTGTTGTTTAAGGGTTGGCTGTGTATTTTGTTATACCCTATGAAGGACAGTTTGTCTCCATCATCCAAAATGAGAAGTGCAGATAAATGTCTTTCTCCTCAGCCATTCCACTTGTAGGAATTTATCCAATGTATACTCACACATACTCTAAATTAAATATGTACAAAGTTTTTCACTACAGCTTGTAATGTTCAAAGATTTGAAACAGCATAAATGCCTACAATTGGGCTGTGGTTAAATAGGAAAGTACTATGCAACTATAAAGAAAAAAGAAGCTCTTTTTACTCTGACATAGATATCTGATACCAAGTTATCTCTGGGATAGTTGTTGAGTAAAAATGCAAGGTGCAGAACAAGGAATAGAGAATGTTACCATTTGTGTGTCTTAAAAGGGGTGAGGTCTACATGTGTCAGACACATTCGGTTGTCTATTCATGGATTACCTCTGGAACTAGCAACCTAATGTTTGAATAGAAACAGAATTGGGAGAGAAGACTTTTCATAGTATCCCTGTATGCCCTTTTGTACCTTTGGAACTGTGACTGCATATGTTTACTATTGAAAAGACTATTAGTTGATGAACATTGGGGGAAGAATGCTTCATCATTTTTGGTTTATTGGCTTTGTAATAAGTAAATATTACAAATTTGAACTCAAATACAATAACTTTTATTGATTTTGAGTATATTGATATGTAATAAGTATCAAGTTATTAACCCAAAGAAAGATAAGTTTTCTAATCTCAAAATGAGTGGATTCAGTAGAATTATAAGACTTCTGTAACTATAAAATTTTATGATTCTAGCTCTGCTATGTTATGCCATCATCCAGTGCAAGATGTGCTCAGTTTCCTCGAGCCCAGGACAAAGTTCATTACTACATTAAGCTGAAAGACTTAAGAGATCAATTGAAAGGCATTGAACGAAACACAGACGTTCAAGAGGTGCAATATACATTTGATCTACAGCTAGCCCAAGGTGTGTTACCATTGTTAATCCTTTTATTCATTTCATTTTTATATATGCTACAGAAAGTATGTTGTAGTTTTAAAAGGAGAAGAAAGTTGTATTTGCAGCCAGAGTGCTCTGATAATGGGTATTAGTCACTGTTAAAATCTCCTTTTACTAAGGCCTTCTGTGTACTCTGAGTACTCCTACAGATAGATATTGAGGTCATAAGAAACACTGTAGCCCACCTAAAGTTAAACCTCATAAGCCATTACAGTTCTTACAAGTTAATATATGTGACAAAGAGGATATGAGATTATAACAAAAGATGTATCTCAATATACATGAACATTCAATAGAAAGATTTGTTCATGATGATTTCTTAAAGCTATTTTCAAAATTGTTGCACAAAATCAATGTTAAATTCTTTTTACCCTCCTCACAGAGGATGCAAAGAAGATGGCTGTTAAGGAAGAAAAATATGATCCAGGTTATGAAGCAGCATATGGAGGTTCTTATGCTGAAAATCTGTGCAATAGTGAACCTTGCAGCTTCTCTTCAAATGGCCTAAGTATGTTCCCTTCCTATGTTTGTTTCAAAGACTTGGTTTTGTCAGGATTGGGAAAAAAGGTTTTTTCAAGTGAGGAAATTATTAAAGAATGGGAATGGTAATACAAACATCTATTGAATAGGTAACTACAGGAACTTCTGCAGCCTTTTTCCTTTAAGTCACTGACTCTAAGTCGTCCTAGTTGTGTTTTTCTCCTTGAATAACAAATGTGGATTTATCAGTCCTGTATCTGAAAAGAGAACCAAAACTTATAATTGTATTCAAGAAGCTTGCTTAACTATTTTAATAACAGTTCACCTTTATGGAACTGTTGAAATCTCCTAATTTGATCATTTAAAGCTTTCAAATAGAAAAAAACGAACATTCTTTTCTCTCCTAGCAGCTGACAGTGGAGAATCAACTTTGAGTGACATTCCAAATGGGCAGTGGATGACCCAGTCATTTACAGACCAGCTTCCTTCCTTCAGTAACCATTGTGGGACACAAGAACAGGAAGAAGGAAACCATGCTTAAGAATGGTGTCTCTCAGCTCTGCTTAAATGCTGCAGTTTTAATGCAGTTATCAAGAAGCGGCCCTCAGTTTGCTAACTGAAGTGTTTTATTTGTATTTTACTCTGGCAATGTAATCAAAGTACAGTTGTGTGGTAGAATCAACTGTATGAACCTAAGTAGTTTGGAAGGAAAAAGTAGGGTTTTTTTGTATATGAGTTTTTATATTTGAATTAACTATCATTCCAGCTTTTTATAAACTGTATTTCATTTGTGAAGAAATTGATTTTCTTTTGGGAGTCACTTTTATGTAATTTTAAAATGCAAAGGTCTGGATATTTATACTTGATTATTAACTGTATGTAAACCTAGATACACCATTACCCCTTTTATGCCTAAGAAGGGCATGCTAATATTAAGAATTACCACTGGGAAAGAGGCCAGTGTGAAGTAACTCTGAGTGGAGTCTCATGAGGTAGTTCTCAGTGGTGTTGGGTGAGTTCCCTGAGTCGTGTTCATACCCAGACCTCTTTGCCTTCCCTGTGGGAAGCATTTGTGAGAACTGCTTAGGAGTGGAAACAGAGTGTGGCCTTGCAGCAGCGGGCGAACCTGGCCTTAACTGATGGGCGCTGAGCCCTGGCTTGGCCTGCTTGCGCTGTGTGTGCATCCTCTAGTAGGCAGAAACTACTCTCCTGGAAGGGCAACTTCCAGACAATGCAGTGTATCTTTTAAATTTTGTTACTTCATCTGTGTTTTACTTGAGAGACATACATTTGATAGGGGAGGAACTGAATTTCTCTCTCAATATCTATCACCATTCTAATTTTATCTTCCTTGGCTTTAAGGATGTAACATGGAAATGGTGAGAAGTGAACTTTCAGGCTGAGCAACAAGATGCTGAAGGTGTTTGATAATCTTATTTAAACTGGTGCTTTATGTACATGAGATGTACTAAAATAATACATCATTTTTCTTGCTAGGTAAATCTAAGTCAATAATTTATAAAATTCTGTGCACCATTGCTGTTTGTTACTGTGGACTAAGTGAACCTTATGACAAGGTTAGTTTGAAGTAATATACCTTTGTGATTTCTAACGCACTTCCCGTGGTGCTACAAATAGTCCAGACTACTAGGCTTGGTAGATATTAAAGCTGGATATTCAGAAATGCCATTTGCATTTACTCTTGATGATTTCTGAATATTCTGATTTCATACTTAATCCAGGGAGCATGCTATTTTTCTATATGAAAATATTTATGAGGTTTTTCTTTTTTTTTTTTTCTAAAAGGTTATATGACCTGTTCTTCTCTTTATAGTAAGAGAAACAAATTCTTGTGACTCTTAACCTTTTATCTGTGGCTACGATGGATTTTATTTTTCCTTTAGGTAAAGCTGTGTAAAAGTCATTCATGTTATTTAAATCATGTACTGTACTGCTGTTTACATGGATGTTTTGTGCAGGTGCTTTGAAGTGCCTTGCATCAGGGAGTAGGAACAATTAAATTATTTTTTCATGAGACTATGTAAAGCATGTAACTAGGTAATTGCTTTGGCATATAAAGATTGTAACCTTACAATCGATTGTTTTTTTGAGTGGAGAATATACTCTTGAATTTATGATGGATGTTCACTAGAGAATGGTTTTGAGGATTTTCCAAGCATGCAACAGTGGTGTTTTCATTAAATATGACAGGTGCATCATAAATGTTGGTAATATCCTATACATGACAAGATGAGACTTTTTCATTAAATAATATTGAAAAAGTTTTTTAATTCATTTGAAAGTCTGATGAATTTTACAATAAAAAATACTAAGAATGATCATCCTTAAGTTATAATAGTAATTGGTATTCTTTCCCCCATTAAACCTGAGATCAGTTTACCTTCTATTATATTTAACATGTCAAATAATATATATATACTGAATCATTAAAAAAAAATCTATGGATATTATTTTTTCAGAGGTTCATGTTTTAAATGTAATATATTGTTCAAAAGACAAGATTGGCAATCTGTTAAAAAATGTGAACAATACATTGGGAAATTTTAAAAATTAAAAAAAATTTTAATGTTATAATTATCATTCAGAATTAAGTGAACTGACTACTGAAATCTAAATGAGTTTCTTTCTTTCCAGCAATATATTTCATTCACATAATCTTGTCTCCATAATTACCACTTGTACTTAAGGACATAAGTCATTACCTATAATGAGCCAAGGTGCCTGTACGCAGTAGGTCTTATTTTTTATATTGTGGATCATATGTATTAAAGGTATTGTTCTTAAAGAACAATGTTATAGTGGGCTCCAAATGGACAATTCCACATTTTTACACAGCAGATATTTAATATGTCAAGTTGCATCAGCTATTGTGGTGATTGAGTTTAAATATTCCTGCAGGGTCAGGAACAAACCAGCTTTCCCATAAGTCGTTGTGAACACTAGGGAAGTCCCACGGTTTATGTCTTCCATTCCAGTGCAGTAATTTTGCTTCCTGTAGAAAATGCTCCGAATATCTGGTATCTGGATTCCAGCCTTCATTGTGTTTAAGAGGAAAATAATAGACTTATTAGAAAATAAAATTTTTATATTAAAATTGAACCCAAGTTCATTGTTTAAAAAATTGAATCAAGGAGTATACACTGGAGAGTTTACCACCCAACCTAAATATCCACAGTGACCACAGTTAAAGAGTTTCTCAAGAAATCTTTCCAGTAATGTTCTGCCTCTACACCAGCATATTGTATAAATATGCCTCTGTGTGTGTAGAAAATTTTCCACAGCGGCACATGTGGATTTACTGAACTGTATTTCACATGAGCAACATCATGATTACTACATTCCCCCCATTATCAAGTCCCCACCACATACCCCATTGCAGTCACTGTCCATCAGCATAGTAAGATGCTATAGAGTCACTACTAGCTGAAATATTTTTAATGATTACAAAGAAAGGATATGCTTGATAATTTTGTGAGTTCCTTATTACAACATCCAGGTTGTTTCTGTCCTTCAACTAGCATAAACAATGCTATAATATACAGTCTTCTAGGCATGTCTTGTGCATGTATACGAATAATCTGTAGGTAAAATAGGCAGAATTGCTAAATTGAAGGGTACATGCCTTTTAAATTTTGGTAAGAGATTGTCAGTCTCAAAAACAACATGTATCAGTTTCCACCCCACCCAGAGTTTATAGGGGCTCTTGTTTCTCTACATTTTCCTTCCATAATTTGGCAACATTTTCTTTTAAATAGTCTTGTTTTTACCATATGAAACGTGACTAAGACCTGCTTTTTAACAAACAGCAATCTCCAGTTGAATATTATTCCCCTCATAAGTGACCACAGAGACCGTGCATTAATCAGAATGTCGCCACTGCTCAGAATATTTTTAGAATATCTCTTCCAGAAGTACATTAAGATCATATGAATGTAAATCTTTTAAAAAAATATCCTCCATGGTGTTAATTTTCTTTCTATGAAAGGGAACTTGGTATTTTTAGAAAATAACTGGAAGTCCATTGAGTCAAGAGGAAAACTAGAGTTAGGTTATTGTAGTTTAACATGATGTAAGGAGAAAAACTGTTTTCTGTTATAAACAGCTGTGAAGGCAGCTGCAGAAGAGCAGCTATGTGTTTTCAGGCTGTAACAGTATGATTAGAACAATTACCAATTTCCAAAGAATTTATACAAAAGGAAGTGGTCGTTTGGGAAGAGGCACACACCTTCACGTGAGAAGTTTTCACTAAGTAGGACATCACCTCTCAGCTCCATGGCTGAAGGACTCTGAAGGGACTTGCAGTTTTCCTTTTAGCTAATAAATATGCTTCAAAATTTTTTGAAATCTTAAGTCTGCTTGTTCAGATCCTAACTTAATACCCATTAGTGTTACATTGCTTTCTGCTTCCAAAGCACTCTAAAATCATTTTTCAAATGGCTTTCTGTGTGAATTTACTTTTCAGACTGTCCCTAATTCCAAACCTTTCAACAGAGTATGTTTCACAACAAAAAATTACTTCTATCCTTCGGAAGATTCTGTCAATAAGAGACATTTCATAAGATGAAATTCTGATTCTCTGTTCCAAGATCATAAATGCTCTAACCTCAACAATCTAAGCTCTGCATAGCTGTTCTTACGCAACGTTTTGGCATAGACATTTGATGGGATTTTCTGCACAGTCATTACCTGAAAATGTTGATGATTGACCTATCAGTGAACCCAACATTAAAAATAAAATCAGAACACTGTGTCCTTAGCTTCCCTGTGTTGCTCTTATATACATACAGATGCTCAGGAAAATTAAGGAAGATTCTGGTAATGAGGAAGAAACAAATCTATACAAAATCATTAAGATGAGATAGGAACGTAGCTTCCAGTTTTATCTGTCCTTCCAAAAGGCACAGTAATGGACATACCACTTTGCAAAAATGTTATCGCTAGAACCTAACCCAGTTCTTGGCATTGTAATGGGCATCTAGTAAATATAAATCCATAATCCATTGTCTCCAATTCCAAAATAATCCCAGAATGTCTGAAAACAAAAGGATTTTAATAACTTCTTTGGCAACAAAATCTAGATTCTACTCAGGGTATTGCATAACTTAAGTATATGTACCCCATTACCTTTTTCAAATTCAAAACCTTTCTAACGTTGAAACAGGTCTCGCCCAGTGGTTTTGGCTAATGTCACCATGTGTTTGAATGAATGTGATATCTGTGCCAGCCTCTGTTCTAAGCAATTTACATGTATTAGGTAATGTTCTCCTTATACAAACTTTATGAGGTTCTGTTAGCTTCAGTTTACAAAGGAAGAAACTAAGGCACAGAGAGGTTGAATGACTTGCCCAAGATCGCAGGTAATAGCAGATTTGGAATTCCAGTCCATACCCTAGAGCTTGCACTTAAGTTTGGAGAGTGAAGAAAAGACGGTTCAGGGACTCATATAGTGTACAACCAACCAGTAAAAAACTTTTTAAAAGACAGATTGCCTGTTAAATCCATCATAAACCATTGTGCTAAATTCATGTGGTATTGCCCACTGTAGGCTACTCCAAGAGGGCAACAAAGGCATGTGAAAAAGTCTTGACAGTGAAAGTTCTATCTTCTCAATAGTTAATGTTTATTGAGCACATGCTATATGCTCAGCATGTCTAATTCTCCTCACAAATTCTTGGAAACACATTTTTCAGGCCATTTTTATCAGCTGCTTTTGGGCAGCTGGGTGAGCAATAAGGGTCAAATAACACATCCAAGGTAAGCTCCAAGGTCAGCCGGAAGACTGGGACTGAGGAAGCTGGCGCCAAAGCACTCCCACCTTGGTGCTCACCAGGTCTGTAAGGTGCACATTTGTGTCCTTTCTCTAAAATACTCACCCAGGTGCCGTATGTGCCACAGGGGGTTGATTGTGGAGTATTTCCCATGAAACACAATTAGCATTGGGGACGTGGCCACCCCTCCTCCCAGGGAGCTGCTGTAGAGATTTTCCCTAAGAAATGGAATAGAAAAGCAACATTTGGCCTGGGGCCCCACAGACTCAGATTAAATGGAATCTAATAATTTTAAAAGATGCAAGACAGTCTCTCACTATATAGTAAGACTGGTTTTTCATTTTTCCACACCGTTTTTATTTTGAAAATTGTCAAGCCTACACAAAATTGTAAGAAGAATATCATAAACTCCCATATACTTCACCTAGATTCAGAGTGTTAATATTTTTACCATTTTAGTTCTTGGGCTTTTTATAGCAAACATAGATCAAATTCTGATCCTACATTGTTTAGAATAACTTAACTCACAAATTCAAGGCTATTATGGTAATAAAAATGCCCAGATAAAAAAGATGGGGGGAAAAAACGTAGTTGTGTTACTTTTGTTTTCTCTATTTTAAAACTTCAATAATGAAAAATGATAAATTTTTTGAAATTCAATGTTAAAGTTGGCTTTATAAAATAATCATTAAAAACAAATCTATGTAAGAAGGAGAAACTTCACTAAAATAAATGATTTCCATGGAAAAGATTCACTAGGATTCTGGGAGAAGATTCAGAATCACAGTATTAATTTATTAGAAAAAAATGTTTGTATGACAAGGGATTCTGCAGTATCTCACTTCCCTCTGACATATCATTTGAGAATTGATTTTCATCTGTTGGCCCCATTCTTTCTCAACAGTGCCTCTAAGGAAATCTGGCCCAAGATGTCTGTGAAATATTTCTAACTCCTGAGCTATGCATAGAAAATTGAGTAATTTTGTTCCAAGCATGGGAAAACTGGTTGAGAAGTCAACACATACTCCACATTTTTTTGCATCCATTTCTCCAATTGTTTGGTGATACGCTGGTGCTTCCATTCTGTCATGTTGGCCACAATCACACCAGGATTGAAAGAGCAAGTGCTGGGGCTTATGCCAAGGTCTTTTATAGTCTTCTTCCGGTAGTCCAGATAGCCCATATATGTATTCTATAAAGGAAAAGGATATGCATGCTTTTGACCAATCTTTTGTTTCCAGATAATAATGTTTTCTTGGAACCATTGTGCACTGTCTCTGGGTTTCCTCCTGTGTCACTGGCCACTTCCTGGAGTCCTTTGCTGGTTTCCTCTTGTTTCCCCAACTCTGAAGGCTGGGTGCTCCTAATTTCATTTCCAGCACCTGTTCCTCAGGCACTAACTCAATAACTCCTCAGGTGTATAACTCACCTGGTCTCATGGCCGTAAATATTATCCATGTAGTCAGCCCTGACCTTTCCTCTGGATTTCCATCTCCCACTACACCGGCCAACCTAAATGTCACCTTCTGGTTGCTTAATAAAGGAGCTCCACTCAACATCCAAAACCTGATCATGATACTATCTCAAACCTGCTCTGTACAACCAGCTTTATCTCAGTTAGTGCAACTCTATCCTTCATTATGTAGGCAAAAAACTCAGGGTTCTTAGGTCATCTTTGACTGCTGTTTCTCACCTTTCATTCAAATCTATCAGTAAACCCTATTAATTCCATCTCCCAAAATACACCCAGAAGCCATTTACTGCCTTTATGCTACCTTCCTGGTCCAGGCTATAATTGCCACTCACTGAATTTCTGCAAGCTCTTCCTAACCCATGGCTCTGCTTCCACCCTCTTTAACTCCTTTGTCCCTATGTTACTTATCTGTTCAAAGCCCCTCCAATGGCTTCCCATCTCACAGTAAAAGCCAGAGTTCCTGAAATGGCCTGCCACACCCTACACCATATGTTCCCATGCCATTACCTGGCCAACTCCTATTATTCTCAACCTTAAGCTCTCTGCCATACTGACCTCCTTGTTTAGTGCACCAGACACACCCCTGCCTCAGGACCTTTGCACATGCCATTACCTCTTCAAATGTTTTGTCTATCCCTACATAGTTGCAAAGGTGGTTCCCCCAATTCTTTCAGGTGTTGGCTCAGTGACACCTTTTCAGTGGAGCCTTCCCTGATCACCCAGTTGAAAATAAAACCCAACATCTTCCCTGATCCTCTTAAATATTTTACTTGTTTATTGATGACTCTTCCCACTAGAATGGTGGCAGGTATTTAAGTTTTGTTTACTGTAGTACTGGTACCTAGAACAGTGTCAGGCACCTAGTAAGTACTCATAGGTAGTTGTTGAATGAATGTAGTATGAGGTGGGACATGTTTTCTCACCCACATAGGCCATCATAATCTGCCTCAGAGTGATGCTCAAATCTGACATGGAGTAATGGAAATACTTGAGCAATTTCCATGTGCCAGGAACTGTTCTAAGAACTTTACACACATTATTACCTCATTAACTGAGTGCAATAACTTGACATGTATAATATGAATTCTCACAATAACTCTAAAAGGAAAGGACTGTTACGACCTCTGATAAGTGGGGGTAGAGGTAGGGGGGAATTGGTTAGTAACTTGCCTGAGGTCACAGAGCTACTACTAAGTGATGGAGCCAAGATTTTGACAAATTCCAGTCTGGTCCTAGAGCCTATGCCTCAAAGTGTGTCACATCTTAAATGTCACACATACAAAATTATTTATTGGAACTTTTTTTAAGAACAGCATTCAATTCTTAATAGCATCTTATATTTTGAAGCCATTCTTTTGGTTTCAGTGTTACATACAGGTTCAACTTTCCTTATTTTATTTCCACCAGGGTAAGGAGCTCTTTACCTTTGAACAAAATCAATATTTTCCTCTACTGAAAGGGGGGCAGGGGGAAGAGAAGCAACAGTCAAAACTCTGAAAATAAAACCAAAGATTCAGTGAGTTTCTTTTACACAAAACACCATCTCTGATAGAGAGTATGGTTCCAAGTGGCCTAGATAACAACTATCATTTCTGGAGCATTTACTACATTTGTTTGTAGTATGAGGTGGGACATGTTTTCTCACCCACATAGGCCGTGGACACTTTGACATTTGTTATTTCATCACAGCTCATAAAAACACCCCCCAATAGGTATCATAACTATGTTGTAGATAAAGAAAGTGAGACTCGCGAGGTGAAATGACTTGAGCCAGCATCAGTAGGGAAGTGGAGTTGGGTGTGAATTGAAAGCCCTGCCACTTGCTGCTCCGCCTCCCAGCAGTCCAGACCAGCAGGGTTCTCAAAGGCGGAGATCACACTTATTGGAGCTGTGGGGAGAAGAAGAGACTAGAACACCAGGGAAGGGGCAGGATCCCAAGATAGTGCACCCACCTGTAGCCCCACGAGTCTGTCTATGTCCTGAGCTGAGGGCAAGTCGCAGTCATCTGAAAAAGCTGCAGCATGGCCCAGGGCCAACGTGGTGTCATACAGTTCTTGGATATCACCTGAATTTAGAAACACCAGGAGTTAAAATATTATAGCATTTGTTTTAGAGCTAGATAGAGCCTTAGAGCTTAAACGATCCCTGATTTTGCTTTGAAGGAAAAGTGTATGATCCCTGATTTCAAGTGATCTGGCAATTTACTTAGTAAGAATAGTTCATCTTAGTTTAGAAAGCCACAGCAGTAGGCTTAGACGGGCATTCGTCAATTGTCTTTATTTCTGTTGCTTTGAAGGTGCCACACCAATGCTTATCTTATTTGCATGTGGGGGAGAGAGAGAAGGCAACATTTAAACACCGACACTTAGCTCACTTCCTAGGATGTCATCAGTGAGACTTTCTCTTAAAAAAAAAAAATTTAGGGGTGCAGAGAAAGAAAAGCCTACCCAGCTATTTATGACAGGCTTTGGCAATCAGTGAGTGGCTCTCAGAAAGTCAACTGGGATGTCCAGGGAAGTATCAACTCCTGTTTAGCCAGCATCAGTAGGGAAGTGGAGTTGGGTGTGAATTGAAAGCCCTGCCACTTGCTGCTCCGCCTCCCAGCAGTCCAGACCAGCAGGGTTCTCAAAGGCGGAGATCACACTTATTGGAGCTGTGGGGAGAAGAAGAGACTAGAACACCAGGGAAGGGGCAGGATCCCAAGATAGTGCACCCACCTGTAGCCCCACGAGTCTGTCTATGTCCTGAGCTGAGGGCAAGTCGCAGTCATCTGAAAAAGCTGCAGCATGGCCCAGGGCCAACGTGGTGTCATACAGTTCTTGGATATCACCTGAATTTAGAAACACCAGGAGTTAAAATATTATAGCATTTGTTTTAGAGCTAGATAGAGCCTTAGAGCTTAAACGATCCCTGATTTTGCTTTGAAGGAAAAGTGTATGATCCCTGATTTCAAGTGATCTGGCAATTTACTTAGTAAGAATAGTTCATCTTAGTTTAGAAAGCCACAGCAGTAGGCTTAGACGGGCATTCGTCAATTGTCTTTATTTCTGTTGCTTTGAAGGTGCCACACCAATGCTTATCTTATTTGCATGTGGGGGAGAGAGAGAAGGCAACATTTAAACACCGACACTTAGCTCACTTCCTAGGATGTCATCAGTGAGACTTTCTCTTAAAAAAAAAAATTTAGGGGTGCAGAGAAAGAAAAGCCTACCCAGCTATTTATGACAGGCTTTGGCAATCAGTGAGTGGCTCTCAGAAAGTCAACTGGGATGTCCAGGGAAGTATCAACTCCTGTTTTCTAAATATAACCAAATTTACAACAATACTATACTCCCAATTTAGTAAACAGTCAAAATCAGTGGGCATCTAGCTACTTGGAAAATGAAGAGAGACAGTCTTTCTACTTATCCGTTGCTCCTTTTCCGAATTGTTCTTGCAGTCGGCGGATTTACCTTGTACAATTACATCATCATCCAAATAGATGACTTTCTCGTGTTGGTGGATAAGCAGAGGGAGATAAAATCGAACAAAGTTCAGCTGTTAAAACAACAAAAGAAGTGATGGTGGGGAGGAGGCATGTGGCTCAGTATCTTCCAGGGGTGCTTCAGGGTCAGCTTTCACTGTGGCCTCAGCTCAGCTTCCGATTTGGGACAGAATAAACCAGGCTTGCTAAGATGCCTCACCAGAGCTCCAGGTGCCTGATGTACCTGAGCCCTGGGGCTGAAACCAGCCTTGGCAGCTGAGCTGGCAGATGAGCGCTGCTTCTGCCAAACCTCCCACTACCCAGACTGACACTCCCCTCTGCAACCTGCTGCGGTGGGAGTCACAGAGGCTTCCTCATCAATCTTTCAGGCCACACATTTGCAGCCTTCCTCTATGCTCAGTAGTTTAACTACTGTCAGCTAAATCAGCCTACACACACACACACACACACACACACACACACACACACACACACGCACGCATGCACGCACACACACGCATGGGCACAGAAGCATCATTCCAACAAGCTCTCTGAGCCAGAAAAAAGTCAGAGAGGTGTGAGCTGAGGGTAGGAGTTGTAAAGTTTTATTAGCCACAACACTGTTTAATCCAGAGTCCCAGCTCAGCTCACGCTCATACAATAAATACCTAGAACTGGGAAAAGATCATGTCATTAGATCAGAGAACTTAGAATTTAGTAAATTTTCAAGGATGGATTTAAGTAACAATTGTATGTGGAAGGTGGCTGTATTTTCTGCAAACCTGCCATCAACACGCCTCTTTATGCAGGAAAGGGTCCCCTTTTGTAAAAACTCTTGCAGCGAAATACTAAGATTCCCAATACTAGGGAGGTCGCTTACAAATTATAAATAAGCAGAGTTAGGTGGAGATCTAACACTGTGAGGCTTCAAAAATATTCCGTCCACATCCTTGATGCTCCCCATGCTAACATCCCTATGTTAGTGGTCCTTACTGACCAAGGGTCTTGCCAAAGGCTGTCCCGGTCCCAGGGGCGTTTCCTACTCACAGGCTGGAGCAACTCCGGTCTCGATGAGTCTGGTCTGATCTTCCCAGTCAGGACCATAGGGTTGAATTCCACAATTTTAAAGTTTATTTCTCTCAGTTTGGAATGTTCAATCCATTTTCTAAAGAGATAACAATAAACAAAAAAGCTCTAGTACACCTTCAATTCGCCTATGGCCTCAGAGTCAATATGTTACCCTCTTACAAAACTTACAAGTAAAATGTGTGTAACCTCTGTAGCATTTAGTCTGTAACTCCTGATTTTTTTTTCCCCCCATCTGGTCTGGCTTCAAGTCTTCCTTTTTTATTTATTTTTATTTTTTTTATTTATGCACTTAACTCTTTCTGTAAAGGAAATGAAGCAAAATAGCAATAACCAAATATCTCCTCAGATCTGTATAATCTCCACAGGAAACTGGAAGGACAAGAAGTGTTTCTTCCTTTAAAGCAGCATCTGTAGTTGCTGGTACTGTTGTTATCATGTGCTAACAGCTCTGTTATGAAGCAGGACTTTCTGAACCTTCTTTGATTGAAACCATTTTTACCCTGCTGTTTTGACTCCATTTGAATTTAGCTTTGTCTTTTTGTCACTGTCTCTCATCCTCCCCTTCTCCTCCTCCCTCTCTCCATCCTCTCCCCTTACATGTTCTCAGTCTTACAGAGCTGCTATCTTTCATCCAATTCACAACAAGAGTCTTGGTAGAAATAACTTCAACATAAAAGTTTCGAGGACTAAAGTCACAACATGGTAAGGGAACATTTGTTAGAGATCAAAAATCGACAAGAGAATTAGATCTTCTGAAAACTTTAAATCTGCAACACTGGAACTATAAAAATCTGTCATTTACACAATGTCATATGTCAATTATATCTCAATGGTTGTGGGGAGGGGGACACAGTCAAGCCACTAAGGAAAAGATGGACAGCCTAGCTGAAACATTGGCAAGAGACTCAACAGGCACATCAAATGGCCAAGAAACGTGTAGGGAAAGTGCTCAACCTCAGTAGAAATAAAGGAACCTCAACTTAACGCCACAATGAGACACCCCTGGACACCCATCAGAATGGCCAAGTTAAAGGGACTGGCCACACCAAGTGCTGGGGTGGGGGTTGTTCCACGGGCATATTTACTTTGTGATCTACTAAGCTGTACGTGAGATTTACACAATTTTCAGTTTTTGTGTTACACTTCAATGAAAAGAGTTAAGAAAATATGTCAAAATGGGTGGTGGACTCGATACCCAAGAACTAGGGAAAAGCCCCTATTCAGACGTCATAAAGGCCTGAGGCTCATACCTTTCGTTCACATATAAACCCTTACTCAGAACGCATGACACAGGCTTTCTATCCTTTTGGGTTTGGTTATCTGGTTTTCACACCCACGGAAAATTAAAGTGCTGTTAACAGTAGGCTCAGTGGACAATCTACAACAATAAATGACAAGAAGAGTGAGAAGTGAGACAGAGAACCTAGAAAGCATACATAAGCCCTCCAAACCCAAAGGAGCCAAGGAGCATTCACAGAGGGCACTTCCAGATCCAAACGTCTTCTGTCTCAGCACCTTCTTATGGTGGTACAACCAAAGTATCTAATGATAAAGGTTGTACAGAATTGCATTCTCTTTTTGAATGATGGAAATAACACTTGAAATACCATGAAGTTCCCTTCATCACTGCTTCCCCAATTCCTGCATCCTTCCTAGATATAGTCACTGCTAACAGAGATCTCTCTGGATATTTTTCTTTACAGAAACATATATGTACATGTATACATTTACAGTATGGTGTTTTTGATTTTCATTGTTGAGCTGAATGTTTGTGTCACCTCAGATTCATATGTTGAAACCTAATCCCCAATGTGATGGTATCTGGAGGTGGGGCCATTAGGGGGTGATTAGTTCATGCAGGTGGAGCCCTCACAACTGGGATTAGTGCCCTTATAAAAGCGACTCCAGAAAACTCAGTTACCCTTTCTATCCCATGAGGACACAGTAAATAGGTGGCCCTCTATGAACCAGGAAGCGAGCCCTTCCCGTACACATGGAGTGTGCTGGTGCCTAGATCTTGGGCTTCCCAGCCTTCAGAACTGTGAGAGATAAATTTCCATTGTTTATAGCCACCCAGTCTGTGGCATTCTCTTAATAGTAGCCTGAACAAATTAAGACATTCACAAAATGGGTATGAGGTGTCGCAACTTTCATTTTCCATGTAACGATTTACCGTGGGGGTCTCCTGCATCAGTGTACACAGATTGCCTTGTTCCTTTTTTTAATAGCCACATCATATGCCATAGTTGATTTAAATATTCTCCCACTGATGGACATTTAAGAATGTAGCAATTTTTTTCACATAATGCTGAAATTAATATTTTTGTACATATGTTTTGGTAATATGCACTAGAATTTCTCTAGCACAGATTCCTAGCAGTGGAAATGATATGGTGAATCAAACTATATATACATATAACATTTTAACAGGAATTGCCATATTGCCCTCTTAAAATGCTTTACCAATTTACAAAGTGTACATTGTGTAAACAAGGAAATAAACATGTCCATTTTCCCACACTGGACAGTGTTGTCTTTTTAAATTTTTACCATCCTGATGAGTGAAAACTTATACCACTGGTTTTAATTTGCATTTCCCAATAGTAACAACGAACATCCTTCCATGTTCTCTGACCATATGTAGTTTTTATTCTGTGAATTGTCTATTTGTATTCTATGCTCATTTTTCTACTAGGTGCTTATATATTTAAAATTTTTTTGTAAGAATTCTTTATATATTTTAGATAGTAATCCTTTGTCTATAAAACATGTTGAACACATTTTGCCTAACATATTATGTGATTCATTTCACATATAGTGTTTTCTATTCACTTAAAAGTTTTAAGTATTATATAGTCACATCCTTTGGTTTTTTCCCTTAAGATTTTGGGCTCAAGGAGTCACTCTCCATTTAAAAATTATACAATTATAATTTTTTATAATACATTTTTATAATACATTTAAAATTTGATTTTCTGTTTACTTATAAATCCAACTCCAGTTTATTTTTCAGTGTGGTGTGTGACAGGAAAGAGATTGGTTTGCAGTTCAAAAATTACAATTAGTGATGATTCTAAGCCTGTTGAAATGATTAAGTTTCTGAAGTTAAGAAAGCAAGGAAGATAAACCATTTTAGAAACACTTTCGTATAAACTGCCTAATCGATTGGAGTTGGACGGGGTTTCTTCCATTCATGAGACAGTTCACTTCTGCAGGGTGATCCACTTCTCTACCAGGTTTATGAGGCTTTGCTGAAATCTCCTTAGCTAGGCACCCTGTTTGTCAGGTTGCCAAGTAAACCTCAGATCATTCCCTCATTAATTTGAATGGCATTTTTCAAGCCAAAAAAAGAAGGGAATTCACTTAAGAAAAATTAAAAGAGAGCCTAGAACTCCAAAGTCTAGAGAACAGAAATTACCGTATTCGAGACAGAGTGTTGCGGAGTCCGACTACATAGAACAAAATGTTGGCGTCGGTGTTGCTGTAGACGCTGTTGATGGCCGCCATGGCAGCACCCATTCTCCCTGCCGCTGCACAGATCACCACAGGAATCTCATCCTCCATTTCCTCAGGAGTCTCAGAGTCATCATCTGGAAGCATCAAAATCAGCATCTTGGAACATGAAGGAGTTTCACAGTAGAGCCCGTTTAACTTGTTCACACTCCTCAAGTAAGAGAGCACAGTGTGGAAGGGATCAGTGATTGTTGTCCGAAATCCAGTCTCTCCTTCTTTTCTTTGAAATAAGACATTGAAATTTTAACTGGCACTCAGGCAACCACTAAGACTATGATTTCCCAGACTCCCTTGCAGCTTTACATGATCTAGTTCTGACCAACGGGATATTAATGCAAGTATGCGTGCAATTACTGGATCTACCTTTAAAAGGAATTTGCTTACTTTACCCTTTTTCTTAACCCTTTTGCTTCAACATTGGCTGGAATGTTGATCTGATAACAGGAGTTACAGCAGCCATGTTGGACCATGAGATGGAAACTACCTGCTGAGGACACCAAAGCCATAAAATAGAAGGAATCTTGATCTGGATGATTGTGGAACTGACACATCAGACCTTCCCTTGAGAGAGAAAATAAACTTCCATTTTGCCTAAGTCACTATTATTTGGGAGCTCTCTTACAGAAGCCAGTCTGATAGCCTAACACACACACACACAGTTGAAAAATGAGGAACTAAAAAGCCTCCTTTGATTCAACAACTCCTCAACTCCTCCCTGAATTGGGATATTTACCTTGCCCATGCTGCTGTAAAGTATACCACCTGTCATCTTCCTTCTCTTGTCACCCTCTAGTCAGGTGTCTCAAAATTTGACAGCACAAGAAAGGAGATAAATGAAAGAGCAAGACTAATGTACAAGATGAATAACTGATTATTCTTTGAGCCTTGGCTACAGTATAAAATACTGATGTCATAGAATCATATGTTGGTGCCATAATACAACTTTCAGGTATGCAGAATAACAAGTATCGGTATGAAGAGTATCCACTCTAAGATGTGTATCTGATTTTTACTTAGAGCTCTCTCTCTCTCTTTACAGAAAGCTTTTTGCAAAATCTCAGTCATCAGACCCACAGTAGCTTCTAGCTAATATTTAATCCAACAGACATTTATTAATTTAACCACTGTGCTTTGTGTAATTTAAGAAACATTGAAGGGCCTCCCCCTTCTCCTCCTATATCTCTTCCATTGACTTGCCACTACATATGAGATTTCTACCACTAGAATAATTTTCTTTTCACAATTTACTTACTGACATGAGGGAATACTCATAATATAATGTTAAGGGGGAAAAGAATAGAAAACTCCCTCCAGTGTTTGGAGCACAAAATCATCACAGGAATCTCATTTAGTATTTGATCCCAATTTGAATCATATATATTTGCAAGTGGATCTACATTTATTTATGGAAATATGAATGATTTTAATGTCCTTGTTTGCATTTCTTGTACTTCCCAAATTCTCTAAGTAACCATGGGTTATTTTAAACAGAAAAGAAAATATTTCTTCATGGACTATACCTTTTGGACTAAACTGTTCTCTTAGGGAGGTCCCCCAATCATGTGTATGTTACCTGCGGGCAGTGAAGTCATCTGCCTAAAATGCAAATTTGACTATGTTGCTTCACACCTGAAGGTTCTCCAGCAGTTCCTAGAGGATAAAGCCCCATTCCTTCAGCTGTCACACACAGTGTCCCAGGATCCAGTCCCTGCTCACTTCCCCAGCCTCATCTCCTACTTCAGCAATACCACACTATCTGTTGTTCCCTGAATTCTGTACATGTTGCCCCTATCTCCGTGGCCATGCTGTTCCAATGCCTGGAATGCTCTTCCCATCCTTCTCTTCATAGCTAACTCTCACCTATTCATTGCAAATGCAGTACAGACATCAGCTCCTCTAGGAAGCTTTTAACAGCCCCTCATACAAATTAGCTCACCCGCTTGTCTAAGCTCACTCTGTCCTCGCTTGTGGCGGATCTACCAGCTGCACTGCAATTTATTTGGTTGCCCGCCTTTCCCTTCTTTCCTATTATACTAGGAACTCTGTTGAGGGCTGGGGAAGTATCTTGTTCATCTCTGTTCATTGCAGCTAGGCCAGTGCCTGGAACATGGCAGATTCTTAATACATTTTGGACAGGTGAATGGATGAATTTATTAGATGTCTCTGTTTGAGCACTTACCATACTGCACAGGAAAAACCCATTCATGTGCCTGTCTCCTTCACTAGACTGTAAGCTCGTTATATGATCCTCGCTGAGTCTGGCCCCTAGGAAGCTCTCAATGAAAGTTTGCTGGACTTCACTGAACTAATGCACTGGCCTCAGAAAGTAGGGCTCTGGAGGAATGGTTCATGGGCCACTCCCAGGGGCAAAGAGAGAGAGAAGGTTGAAAAGCTGGGACCAGGACAGGCTGTCAGGCTCAGGTAGTGGCCTTTGTCAGGCAGCAGGCAGAACGAGAGAGGAGGAAGGTGTCCCTATGAAAGAGGAGCACCCCAAGACAGGGTCAAACACTGAGTGTGAAGCTCTGTTACGCATCACACTGCCACACTTCTGAAGAGCATCTGCCACTCAGAGAAGCTGGGAGCTGATCTAAGCCAAAAATACTGTTTTTTTGCCAAAAAGTCTTCCCTGGAAAGAATGAAAGATGAAGGCGCCTTGGAGACAGGGTGTGACCGTTAATCAATGGTAAGTTTTTCACCAACACTCCATCCTTGCAGCTTCCTTCGGAATCATCCACTGTACTATTTGGATCCATTGTGCCAGCTAGTACCCGAGTCAACCCATTAAAAGGTTTGGCTATGGGAAAGTATTTGGTGCCCATAAAGTCTCTAGAAAACATTGAGATGATGGCAGAATGGTCTGGAAATATATTTTATTGTCTTAACTCATTCCCACAAGCAGCTCTCATCAAACTAGGCCCATTCCTAGAAGTGAACGGTCTACTCTCCCAATACCAAATCTCTGAATCCCATTTCAGATTAGGATCATTTTAGGCAAACATACAGATTAGCCTCACTCCAAATGAGCCAGGAGTGAATCACCAGCATGCTAGTCACAAGGAAATGGTCAGATTACATGCCACGTCATCATCAGGAGATCACATGGGATGGCACCATGTTTTTCTTCAGCACAGGCCTCTGGACGGCACCTCAGAACATTGATGCTTTGAATTACTGTTTTTGAAAATACAAAAATTAACAATGGACTAGGAAGAACGCAGAGGATGTTTAGGGCAGTGAAACTTGTGTACTCTAGAATGGTAGGTAAATGTCATTATACGTTTGTCCAAACCCATAGAATGTACAACACCAAGAGTGAACCCAGTGTAAAGTATGGACACGGGGGGATAATGAGGCATCAAGGCAGGTTTATCAATTGTACCAAACGTACCAGTCTGGTGGGGGATGCTAATAGTGGGAGAGGCTGTATGTGTGTGTGTAAGGACAGGAGTTATATGGAAAATCTCTTATCTGCTGCTCAATTTTTCTGTGAACCTAAAACTTCTCTAAAAAATGAGGTCTGTTAAAAAAAATCATATAAACTTCTTGAAAAAATTCCAGCCCAAACACAAGTATCTGGTAAATTGTGATTTTCTGCAGACCTCTCCACCCCATTCCAATGGTGGACCTCCATTACCAGTGTGCTGTGTGCCCCCTGTGTATGTGCAAAACGATATATACCTGAGATCTGTTATTTAAAAACTAAAATGGAATCATATTCTTCATAGTTTTTGCAACTTGCTCTTTCCACTTCACTTTTCGTGGCCATCTTTCCATGTCAGCACTACATTCTCTTTGATGGTATTCCATATTTTTCTATTTGAACACTGAATGGGATAAAAACGTGATATGGAATCCATACATGTGGTCCAAGAACTTTGCATCTGGTGGATGAATCAGTCAGGATGTACATTTCCTTACAGTTGTCTTAACAGCTGTTACAAAAGCTACTCATTTCTTTCCATGGAGAAAGGGGTTTTAGTGGGATCAGCTGACCAAATATGTTGGTTTTGGGGCAGGGAGTGAAGCGTGAGGAGTAAAGAGCTCGAAGTTCAGACAATATTTAACCTTGTATGATTTTCTTCCTCTGTCTCTCTTAAAAGTTCTATGAAGGCTTTATTTAGGTACTCTTAGGGACTGGCTAAGAGTACACCGAAAATTCGTATATTGAAACCCTAACCCCCTCATAGTGCAGAGTGTGACTATTTGTAGATAGGTCCTTGGAGGAAGCCATTAAGTTAAAATGAGGCCATTAGGTGAGGCCTTAATCTAATATGACCAGTGTCCTTATAAGAAGAGGCAGAGACACCAGGGAAGTGAGCACAGAGGAAAGATCACCTGAGGACACAGGGAGACGGCGGCCTCTGCAAGCCCAGGAGAGAGGCCTCGGCCTCAGGAGAAGCCAGCCCTGCCAGCACCATGACCTTTGACTTCCAACCTTCACAACTGTGAGACGGTAAATGTCTGCTGGTTAAGCCCCTCAGTCTGTGGTATTTTGTTATGGCCACCCAGGCAGACTGATACAGATGTCTTAAAATTCCCTATTGTAAGTATATGGTTCAACGATTTTTAGAAATGTACAGTTGCACAACCATGACCACAATCACATTTTCGGATTTTTCCATCACCCTGAAAAGTTCCCTTAAGCTGGGTTGAAGTCAATCCACTCCCATTCCCAGCTCCAGGCAATCACTGATCTGTTTTCCATTTCCACAGATTTGCCTTCCCTAGAAATTTCATGAACATGGAATCATACGATGTGTGACCTTTCGGGTCTGGCTTCTTTCATTTTGCATAATGTTTGTGAGCTTTATCCATATTCATAAGTATGCTAGCATTTGTAGCATATATCAGTAGCTTCTTCCTTTTTATTGTTGAAAACACTCCGTTGTGTGGATATACTGTATTTTATTTATCTGTTCACTAATTGATTCACATGTGGATTGTTTCCAGTTTGGAGCTACATGAATAATGTATGCAATTCCATGTGCATACACATCTGTGTGGAGATCATTTCTCTTTCCAGATGTTCTTGATGTTCATTTAGACCAGATTATACATGTTTTTAATTGTTTTATGAGTTTTCCTTGTATTTAATAAAAGGCTCTGTGAGAGCAGGGACATTGTTTTGCTCCTTGTTGTGTGTCCAGTGCCTAAGCCTCTGGTTTAAAAAAAAAAGTGTGGCATGTATATATATAATACACCAAAATATTAACTGTGCTCGTCTTTTGCTGATACGGCCACAGGGAACATTTTTCTCTTCTGTATTCTTCATAAATGAGTATATTTGCTTGACTAATATCAACAGTAAATTAATTAAAAATATAATAAACACACTACCAGTGCTGCTTAATTCTCGTGTGGGTTGACTCTGTGTGTGTGGAAGTTGCGACGGTGCCATCCCAAGCAATTCACCCCTGAGGAGGGAAATTGGGCTCCTCAGTGCAGCTGGAGGAGAACATAGGGTCAATGCCAGATCTCTTTTCAAGCTGAGAGTTCTGAAGATTGGCGCACTGCCGGAAATGAACCAGCAGGGAGGAGAGAGAAGAGTAACTTCCTTAAGCAAAATTACCGAGAGACTCCAAAGGGATGGATGTAGAGCTGGCTACTCAAAGTGTGGTCCAAGAACCAACAGTGTCAGCATAGACAGGGGTTTACTGGAAACACAAATTCTTAGGCCTACTAATTCAGAACCTCTCAGGGTGGGGCCCGGGGCTTGGTTCACAAGCCCTCCACGTGAATCTTATATGTGCTAAAGTTTGAGTAGCACTGTTCATTCTAGAACACGGCCGAGGAGCTGGCCTTTGGTGGACATTCTATAAGTGGGTCCTTGGGAAGAGGGCAAATTGTTGCTTGTCTCTGAACCCAGCTGTTGAAAGGAATCAAAGGGACACATTTAAACCACATTCCTAGACAGATTACATGCCTGCTTATCTGCTTCATTCTTTAAAAAAAAATTTTTTTTATTGTGGTAAAATATACTTATAAAATTTACCATCTTAACCATGTTAAAAGTGCACAGATCAGTAGTATTAAATACATTTGCATTGTTGTACAGCCATCAAGACCATATCATCCTCATAACTCTTTTTAATCTTGTAAAACTAAAACTCTAAACCCATTTAGCAATAACTCCCCTTTCTCCCCATACCCAAATCCTGGCAACCACCATTATACTTTATATCTTTATGATTTTTGACTTCTAAGTACCACATATTAGTGGAATCCCTCAGTATTTGTCTTTCTGTGACTGGCTGATTCCATTAGCCTACCTGTTTCATTCCTGAGCATGGTCCCCTTATGAACTTTCTTATACAGAATCCCACAGAGGGTCAAAATCAGAAGGAACAGCAACACTTGATTAACTGAAATAAAAATAGAAACATGTTCAAGTTTAGCCTATCAAGATGAAAATGTAGGAAAATTTAGAATAGCCATGTCAGGCTTCCCTGACATACATCAGAGTGGTGGTCAGGCACCTTTCTTTAAGCAGATAGCATATGGAGTCGAGTTCATCTGGGATAAAAAATATCAAATCACTATGATGAACACCTGAAACTAAAAGGATATTTGCTGCCAGTTAGTTATATTTCTATTTTTTTTTAAAAAAAAGAGCTAACCTGGGATATTGCTGATGCTCAAAGATACTCAGATGTAGTTTCAGGAAGACGCAGAGCTAAACTCAGGTAGTCATGACAGAGGCTACAAGTTTAATGACTACCCGATGCTGCCTTTGGAGCCACTTTCTGTGCATGAATACTTTGCTTCAAATAATAGCCAACATTTATATAATGCTTATGATGAGCCAATACTTCTTATGTGTACATGTTCTTAGCCATTGTAATACAATGTAATACAATGTAAGCTGCTTCCCAGTTAATTCAACCTCTGGCCAAGGATGGTGTACAGAAAATTTTTGCCCCGAGTTAAAAATTAGAAAACCCCAGTATCTCTTCCAGTTCTAAGCCTCAGAACCATCTGTTCCAGACAGTGACACTTGCAGTTCCAGACTACTGAGAAGTGGAGTGGTGTAGGACAGTGCTTTCCTAAGTATGGAGCACATGTCACTGGTTGTATATGAGATGATTTCAGAGGTTCATGTTCATAACATTAAATCACAGGGTGAGAAATCAGCCCTAATTTCATACACAGGCAGGCAACAAAAAACTACCCAGAATTGAATAACATTGTACTAAGCATACATATTTGTACAATCTATTTATGATGAACTGTTATTCTACTTATGGGAAGGATATACACTTTTGATTGTAAAGTATATTTACATTATTTTAATGAATCAATTTGAGGATCATAGTCAGGCATGCAGACGACAGAAGGAACACCAGTGATGACAAATTGAAGTGGTCCATTGCCATGTTATGTTGCACTAATGCCTGTAGTTTGGAAAATGTTGGTAGAGGGGTAAAGGGCTGGGATTTGAAGTCAGACTCAGATCTACCACCACCACCCCCTTGTCATGTGGCCTTGGATAGGTTACTTAACCTCTCTGAGTCTCAGTTTGTTCATCTGCTAAATGGGGATTATAATAATAATTACCTCACAGGGGTGTGTTAAGAGTTAACAAAGGTAATATGCACCCAATAAAGACTTTACAATTGTTTTGTATTTTTAATGTATTTATTATTTTGTATATCAAGTTATTTATACTTACTGGCCTCACACCAATCTGTTTTCTGGCCCCTAGGCCTTTGTCTCTGCATTTGTTAAAGGAAGGTGTTGGGCAGTCTCCATGGATGCCATCCAGAACTATATTCTGAAGCTCAGTGATTCTACCTTGCTGACATCTAGCTCCTCTCTGCTTTACTAGATAATCAGATTCAGCCAAAGACAACCAGATACTAAACTCCATTTAAACAAAACTATAGAGAAGCAGAAGACAGGGGGCAAAGTTCTGTAGCTTACTGATACATCTGGTTAATGTTCACCTGCCGTAGTCAGTTCAGGCAAACAGCTCAATGTCTACCACCATCTGACCCTTTTTCAGTACAGGCATGTCCCATGGAATATGTGGGATGTACTTAAAATTCATAGTTTACCTGAAATTCAAATCTAACTGGATATCTTGTCTTTTCATCTGCAACACATGGTAACTCTACTTTGAGGGTAACAGTAACACAATTAGGTTATTATGTTTTCCCCTTAGAGTCACAAACTACTGGACCTAAAATCAGGGGGAATTCAGGTTTGGATAAGGTCTGAAGATTATATAATTAAAAATTTTGTAATTTAATAATTACAAAATTACAATAATAATTACAAATCATACTAATAATGTAAAAACTATAAATGCTAAACTAGAAACATGAATATTTATTTTAAATGAGAAAAATTAATTATTTTTGGAAACATTATAGAAATGTCTGACCCATCTCAGGATAAATCTACCTCTGAGCAAATTCTCTCCTGCTCTCCATTGGAATCATCTTGAAATGATGACACCAAGAACTGCCTGTGAGAAAACTACCCATGAAAATCAAAGATTTCAAAACAAAAAACTAAGACACAGCATGAAAACAGTCCTCCAAAATATCTATTTTTAATAGTGTTCAAAAGATGTAATCTTACTTTTTCGTAACAAAGCCATGTGTGTTCACGAGGATAAAAACCGTGACCTGTGGATTAAAGAATAAATTTTGTTTAAAAGAGAATCAACCCAAAAGTCATCACACAATTATTAAGGACTATGTCTTTGTCTGACATGTGGCAAATTGTGTAATCATCCTTTATCATTCTGAATCCAGAATTTCGGAAACTACATATTTCTTGACTGTATAGCTCACCTCTTCAAATTGATTTCTCTGGCTGTATAAACTGTACAAAGGGCCCCCAAGAGGTCATCTTTTGTCTTCAGGTATTACTTTTAACCTTTTCCAAAAAGAGCCTTGTCAGTCCTCTGGGTTAGCAGATGAGATGACATTAATTTGAAAAAATGCCACACAAGAAAATCTCCTTAATCTAAAAGGTCAACCCCCTGCCTATTTTTTTCACTACCACTCCTTTGATAAGGAAGCTTCCACATCTTCAGGAATCCCTTGTGGGCATACCTTCCACTCAGTTCAACCATTCATTCATTAAGTATTTTTTGTGATCCTACTAAAAGCCCAGCACTGTGCAATGTACTGGGGATGTACCAATGAACAAATAGGTCCCAGTCCCTATTTTCATGGAGCTTTCAATCCAGGGGAAGAAACAGATACTAAAATGTAATGAATAAAATAACTAGAATATGGAAAGTGATATGAAGGAAATAGCAGAGGTACTGAGATAAAGATCAACAGAGGTGGGGAGTGTACCAGGAAAAGCCTCACTAGGGAGATGGCATTTGATGAGGAGAAAGAGCAGGAACAGTGGAAAGAATGCAGAAGATCATCTCAGGCAAACACAACAGCAAGTGCAAAGGCCCTGTGGCTGAAAAGCACTGAGTATTCTAAGTACAGCAAGAAGTTCAGTGTGGTTGGAATGTAGTGGGCTAAGGGAGAGACTGTCTGGAAGAGGTTGGACCAAACTGTGGTGTCTGTAAAGGAGTTTGGAGTTTACTTTAAATGCATGTAACCCCTCCAGTCTTTGTCTTCATCGTAAGTCCTAAAGCAATGGTTTTCAAAAATTCCCATAGAAAGTCTGATGGTAAGGGAGAGCGAACACTCTAAGTTATCCATAGTGAGCTCAAAATATCTTACAAGCTTCTTGGTTTGCCTTCAAGTTCATGTAAACTGTGCAGGAATGAAGAAAAAAATAGTAATTCCCTTCATTGCTAGCAGAGTTCCCCTTGGGAGAAGACTCTTATACAGTCAAAATCTTCTGTGCTTAGATGGGATGGGCAGGGACGAGAGCATGAACGTGTTAAATGGCCCTGAGTAAATGATGAGCTGGCACCCTGGGGTTTGGCCACAGCCCAAGAACTATAGATGGGGAGGAGAAAGATCCCATGGCAGAGACTGCCACTTGCCCATTAGAACTTCTTTCCTTGTGGTTAGATGGGCTGCAGGAACTTGTCAAAAACTGGCATCTCCACTAATCAGTCCACAGTTGTCTGCCATGCTCTGCACCCTCTAATCCTCACCCTATCTCACACTGCTTTTCCTCCTGGATCTAAACGCATGTATCAATGTATTTGGGAGAAATCAAGGAAAGGGGGCCATGTTCCCCTTTTGATGTGAAGGACTGGGAGAGATACAACTGAGATAAACTTTTGGAGGCACTGGACATAAGAATGTAAGCCATCAGGAATTCGCAGGAATTTTGGGGTTGGGGATATGGGTGGGGGCAAGATGAATCAATGTTATTTGAATCTCCAAATCTATGGCAGATGGCAGAAGTCTTAATCTCCTTTGTGACATCCGGGAAGTCTGGTGAAGCCCACTGACCTCTTCTTAGAATAATGTTGTTAAAAGCTTACAAAATAGACTGTATTATAGAAAAAACCAATCACAAAATTTTAAAGGAAAGGAAGCTATCAGAATATTGGGAGACAAAACTAAACTCATGACATAGCAATATATCTGCTTCTTTAGCAAGTTACAGGAACTATTAGCAGATATAATAGTTACTGTAACTTGAAGTGGTGATGAGCTTTAAAAAGTGTGAGGTATCTGTTAACAACTGAAATGTAATATGAAAATTTCTGATTTCTCCTGGTGATGAAATCACAGGTAGTGAGTTGGCCACATTCACAATTGAAGGAAACTTTCAGTTTCAATTGAATTTAGTAACAATACAGATAACAGGTTTTTTCTCATTTAAGTACATGAAATCTACTGGAATGTACCCATGGACACTTTGAGGGTCTGTGTGTCCCTGATTAAAGGTTAGAACCCTTAGGCTAGGCTAACTCAACTGACATGTGGGTTAAAATGTCATAGAAAAGTGATGGTTTGGATGTTTTATCATCTAGAAAAACTGCTGCTCTGGGAAGATGTGCCAGGTTTGATCTGAGGCTTTTCACAGTCCCTGACACACTGCATGATACTCCAGGGGACATGCACAGCAGGACGGGAAATGGGTCCCAGGCAAACATCAGGAGAGGGACAGGCTGACTCTCAGGGTGACTGTCAGTGGCGAGGAGAGCAAATGGAAAGGAAAACCCTCAAAGGAAGGCTTAAGGGATGCCAGAGACAGACTGGAGGGGATAAGCTTTGCCTCTTTTCCATAGCTGTACACTGTTGGAAGTAATTTAAATGCCCAGCCTTTTGCAATTTCATATAAATCAATGTTGAAGTCCTCTGTCTCTATATTGAAGGCTACAGAAAATAAAGATGAAGCCAGGATAGAAAACATAGACTTTTCACTTGATATTCTTACAGGGCTTATACTGAACTTATTTAATAACCAATATGGCCCTCAGCACTGAGCAATTAAAATGAGCAGCTGCTATAAATGGCCCAAATGGTGTTCTAAAAAGCAGCAGCCTTGGCACCTACAGAATGTCGAATCATGTGAATGTGTTATCTATTCACACAAATAAACAAATAGATATGTACAGGAGATTCTAAACACACACACACATACACACACACACACACACAAAGATGCATTATATTCTGATCAGCAAGGATAAATCCTGTCAAATCATCATTCATTCTCATTTTCTACGGGGCCAACTTTTTACATGCAGCCCTTGACTCTGCATGAGGCAAATTCAAATTCCAAGGGACCTATCAACTAGATGTATTCTAAGAACAACTTTTTTATATTAAAGTATCATTGATATACAATCTTATGAAGGTTTCACATGAACAACATTGTGGTTTCAACATTCACTCATATTATCAAGTCCTCACCGCCCCCTGCCATTGCAGTCACTGTCTACCAGGGTAGTAAGATGCTATAAAGTCATTACTTGTCTTCTCTGAGCTGTATTGCCTTCCACGTGACCTACCTATATTGTGATTGTGAAATATAATACCCCTTAATCCCCTTCTCCCTCCCTCCTCCCTGCCCACCTTCCCCAACTCCTTCCCTTTGGTAACTACAAGTCCTTTCTTGGAGTCTGTGAGTCTGCTGCTGTTTTGTTCCTTCAGTTTTGCTTTGTTATACTCCAAAAATGAGTGAAATCATTTGGTACTTGTCTTTCTCCACCTGGCTTATTCCACTGAGCATAACATCCTCTAGCTCCATCCATGTTGTTCCAAATGGTAGGATTTCTTTTCTTTCTATGGCTGAATAATATTCCATTGTGTATATGTACCACATCTTCTTTATCCATTCATCTACTGATAGACACTTAGGTTGCTTCCATGTCTTGGCTATTGTGAACAGTACTGCGATAAACAGGGGTGCATCTGTCTTTTTCAAACTGGGCTGCTGCATTCTTAGGGTAAATTCCTAGAAGTGGAATTCCTGGGTCAAATGGTATTTCTATTTTAGTTTTTTGAGGAACCTCCATATTGCTTTCCACAGTGGTTGAACCAATTTACATTTCCACCAACAGTGTAGGAGGGTTCCCCTTTCTCCACATCCTCGCCTTCATTTGTTGTTTCTTGTCTTTTGGATAGTGGCCATCATAACTGGTGTGAGGTGATATCTCATTGTGGTTTTAATTTGCATTTCCATAATGATTAGCGATGTGGAGCATCTTTTCTTGTGCCTTTTGACCATCTGAGAAACAACTTCTTTTAACAGCAGATGCTTATTTAGAGAATAAATATTTGGCCTTATGAGAACTATTTTTCTGCCAAGACAAGTGATACATGTTGACAAAGTTATTTCTTTGTGGTCTCTTTGTGGATCTTCATAAATTTTGTATTGTAAACTTCTGTAATTAGAGTGCTTCACCCAGAGACACACAAATGGCTATAAAATAAATATTCAGTCTACTTTTTTTTTCTTTTTTTAAAATAGGTTTCCTTTCTGTGACATGTGTATTTTATTGAAAGCATATTATCATGTCAGCTTCCAAATCTGACTTGTTGATTTTTAAATGTTTAAATAATTACATGTAGGAGAATCCACTTTTCTGATTGTATAATTCTGTGAATTTAATACATGCATAAATTCCTGTAATAATTTCAAGAAATGGGATGGAGAGCAATTCCAACACCCTCAGAGAATTCCCTCTGCTGCCCTTTTGTAGGCAAACCCTGGCCAGTACTTGGTCCCTACAAACTGATTTGGTCTCTGTCACTATAGTTTTGCTATTTCCAGGATGTCATATAAATGGAATCATACAGTATGTAATTTTTTGAGACTCTCTTTTTTGTGTGGCAGGATTCATTTTATATTCATATTTTCTGTTGAGTATATGTTTGTTCTTTCTTATTGCTGAATAATATTCCATTGTATGGATATACCACCATTTATTTATCCATTCACCCTTTGAAGGACATCTGAGTTGTTTCCAGTTATGATTTATGAATAAAGTATTGGTTAAACAGTTTTTAACATGTTTTTGTGTGATTTTTAAGTCTTCATTTCTCTATGGTAAATACTTAGAAGTGGTTTGCTGGGTCATTTGGAAGATGTGTGTTTAACTTCATAAGAAAATACTAATCTGTTTTCCTGAGTGGCTGCATCATTTTGCATTCCTACCAGCAATGTAAGAGAATTCCAGTTGCTCTGCATTTGTGTCAGCACTTGGAATGGTCAATATTTTTTATTTTAGCTGTTCTAATATGTG